AAATAATTATATCACAAATTGCTAGAGAAATGAGTGGAATATTCTAATGGGAAGTATGAGAAAAAAATTCTTGACTATTATCAGGGGAAAATGGCCTTGATTGAGGAAAAAAATGCTTGTGAAACAAATGCTGGAACAAGGAAGAGTGATAGATATTGAATGTTGTATGTATATAAAGCAAAAAAATAATAATTACACAGTCAAAAAGAGTAAGGAATAATATAGAGGAAGAGAAAATCAAATTGTGCTGAAAATAAAATACTTTTTGGAATTTCTAGATTTGATGTAGTAAAAAACAAATGTAATAAAATTACTTGGAACAAAATTGACTGGAGAAGATGCTAAGAAATATTTTAAAGGGATCTAGCTAGTGATAGTTTGAAGAATGGAATTGAAATGAATCCTATAAATGTTAGTATCTAGAAAACCGGGAGTCATAAACACCATGATAGTATGCAAAGTGGTAAAACTGTAGGTGTTTAGTGTTTGGAGAAATGTTAAAATATGCTTATGATAGCTTTGGGAATAGCTGTGAACTTATTTAATGTGTGCAGAAAAACTGTAGTTGTGTCTGATGATTGGAAGAATGCTGTTTTTCCGCCCTGTACAAAGGAAAGTTTCCAAACATGAATGCAAATTATATAGCAGGATAAATTTGTTAAGACAGCCTGGGAATATACTGGTTAGAATTGGGATTGCAGGAGCACCAGAGGTGAGAGTCAGTAAAATTTGAGAAATACTGAGAAATATAGTGTGACTTTAAGCTAGGCAAAGAAATGCAGGGTGGGTTTTCACTCTTCAGCAGGATACAGAGAGTTTATGAATCTCAGAAAGCTTATTGTGTATTTGTTGATTTAGAGGGCATTTATCAAAAGTTAGTGGGCTTCAATGTTTTACATGAATACGGAATCAGAAATTCCTTCTCCTTCATATCAAAGGCTTTTTGTACATCCAAGGAGACCAGCAATGTAGTCTTCTGTTTTTTTCAAATGTTTGCCCAGAATATCGATTAATAATCTAATTTTATCAGAACACTTCAACATCTTTTATGAAACAAGAATGTTCAGGAAGGATTATTGAAGATGGTATCACTTATGATACCTAAAGTTTGGCATCAAAATTGCCATGAAAAGTGAGTGATTGTGTGCACAATTAGCAAGGCCTTTACTGCCTTTCAGAATTAATTATATAGGCCTCCAATCAATTTATTGAACAATGAACTTTCAGAACAATAGCAGGATATAAGTGCAGTAAATAAGTATGTTATATAGTTCATAATGCACGAAATAGTTACTGATATTAATTTTCTATCAATTTTTTAGATTTCAAGGTTGAAAATGTATAGTAATGTATTGGAGGGATGATTCCCATCATTAATTCTTAAGAGTGTTGAAATACATATGTATGTTCATACACCTACGCACATACATGCTCTAGCTGAGCTATTGAAGGAATTAATGAACGAGAGTAAGCAAAAAGGACTATAAATCATAATTTAGTGTTGTCAGGAGCAATAATTTGTGTCTTTTGATATAGATGAAATATTCATTTAAGTTCCATTCAAATGAAAGGTGAATAAGAATGGATTCAGGAATCAAACCAGAAGATGAAAAAAAATACAGCTTACAAGATAGAGAATATATTAAAACAAATCTTGGAGAACTAGCACATGACTTCTTGTAGTAACTATATATTTTATTAGGAATAGGTCCAAAAAGAACGGTGAAGCTCAGGGGTGAAATCTAAAAATTTTTGCTACCGGTTCTGTGGGCATGGCTTAATTAGTGGGCATGGCTTGGTGGTAAGGTGACTGGGTGGGCATGGCCAAGTCAATGTCACTTCTTTGCCCTTTTTTAACCTACAAAACACAACACAACACAACTGGCTTACCCACAATGTAAAAGTAGCTGTGCTAGACCCAAAATGGCCCCGCAACAGGCAGGAACCTCACACAGCCACAAAAAGCCCAAAAAACCAACTTTCACACTTTACACACACACACAACACAACACAACTGGCTCACCCACAACATAAAAGCAGCTGTGCTAGACCCAAAATGGCCCCTGCAACAAGCAGGAACCTCACACAGCCACAAAAAGCCACAAAAACCAACTTTCACACTTTACACACACAAAATTCCACATACAGCTTTGTGAGATTTTGTGTGTTTGTGTAGTTAGAGTGAAACACTACAGAAACACACTAAATCTCAGAAAGCTGCACAAATATTATTTTATTTTTATTTATTTTTATTTTTATATAAAAGCAGCTAAATTTAAAACTTCCTAAACTTTAAATGGCTAGATCTAAAAAAAGAACAACTAAAAAAAAACAATTAACTATTTTTTTTTAAAGCTCCCAATGGGGAAAAAAACATACCTAATAGAACAGGGGTCTCCACCTTGGCAACTTTAAGACTTGTAGACTTCAACTCCCAGAATTCCTCAGCCAGCTTTGCTTAAAGTTGCAGATAGGGCTGCTCACTGATGAGCTTGATTGCAGGCAGGGAGATTGCTGATGCAATGGATTGCGATCGTCATGCGACCAGCAGCTAAGGTAAGCAAGCTGGAGGCTTGGCGGGCGGGGGGGGGGAGAAAAAAAGAAACTTTTTTTCTTTTACATGGCTCTGGCGATCCAAGCTGAGTTGCTTGATTAGCAACTCTTCAGAGCTATTTAAAAGGAAAAAAAGGCTCTGATGATCACGCGGCTCAGCTGGGCATGGGGGGCGGGGGCAGGGATTTTTGCTACCGGTTCTCCGAACTGCCCGCCGCCATCGCTACCTACACGCCCGAGCCGGTCCAAACCGGGAGCATTTCACCCCTGGTGAAGCTTTAGTACATGTTCTAGTATAATTTTATGGAAAGTTAGAGTTCATTAAAAAGTAAAACTTCCTGGAATGTTGACAATGTTGGCGTTATTCCTCTTTTTTAGAAAGAGCATTCTTCACAGAAAGCATCAATTTAAATTAAAACAGATGTTCTAATTGCAATATTTGAGAGTATTTTGGTCTAAACTAAGAAGTACGAAAGATTTGCAATGTTTGTAAAACAAAGCAGTTTTGACCATATTAATGGCACAGAATACATAAAGAACAGTACCCTATAGGATCTGCAGGATTTGATAATATATCTAACAAGATCAAGCTCATATTTAATTACAAACCTTAAATAGCAAACCCAACATTGTATTATTTAACTTTCAGTAGCAACTGGTTGTTAGAAAATCTAATGGTACCTTAATTCTAGCCATGCAAAACAGTTTTCAATTATTTTCTGCCTTCTATTTCCCTTCCCCCTATTATGTTTTATTTTGTTCAGCAAAAATTAACAACTGAGATGTATTAAACAGGTTAGAAGAAGTTGTGAAAGGTAAATCATGAAGCTTTTGTGCTAATTCTAGAATCAGAAAAAATATATTTCTGAATCCCAATTATGAGCTGGCAACTGTGGGAATGTATTTGTTGTCTTGATCTACCATTGCAATCTGGATTGGCCAAATTAGGAAACAGGGTGCACAACTATCGTAGATAAGCCATTAATCTAATCTAATCTTGTAGCACAATTTCACCTGCTTTTCTTAGGTTATGCATATGATAATAAACTGTAAAATTGGATACCTTTTTATATTCTTTTAAAGTGCAGATACGTTTTTAGGAAGCTGATCTCTATTTTTGATAGGAATTGAATTAAGAGTCATAGTTTATTAAATCACAATAAAATTGTTATGTTAATTATATAATTTTGATTTACTGTATTTATTCATAAAAATTTATGATAAAATTTATCAGCTGCCTATCTTACTAAGGGAAACTCTGAGCGGCTTTCAATCCTAAAAGACACACACACTCTAAAAACATAAATAAATTAATGCCAACAAATGCTATGATCCAGTTACAGATAGGGAGGGCAGTGGCAGAGTGGGTGGAGCTGGGATCTGTTAATTGATCAACCACCTCCGAATATCTCGATTAACCACATATGCTTATCCAAACCCACCCAAAATATATTTTCTTTTCTTTTTCTTGCCATTCAGCAACTTCACCAGAAGGAACTTTTACTACATGACTTGTTATTTAAATATCCTTCCTTCATTGAACTTAACTGTACTTTTGCTATTCATTCCAGCATGAACTAACCAGCTATGAAGCTGTCACTGAGCTGCAAGTCCATGTAATCCTTTTTTTTTTTTTTGTGGTCTTCTGAGAAATGACCCTCATCCTCAATAAGACAAATCAAATAAAATTTTATTTTGGCCACTGAACGTATTTATAAAATGTAAATATATGTACCAAATAAATATCAGTAACAATGATTAATATAAACAAACTTCAGATATTCAGATGTTGATCTCACTACTGAGTAATATAAGTAGTCCTCGCTTTACAACCATTTGTTTAATGACCTTTCAAAGTTACAACGGCAATGAAAAAAAGTAGTTTATGACCATCTTTCACACTTACAACCATTGCAGAATCTCTGTGGTCATATGATCAAAATTAGGACATTTGGCAACTGGCATGTACTTTTAACAGTTGCATATCGCATGTTTATGTGATCACCTTTTGCAATCAACAAACAAAATCAATGGGGAAGCCAGATTCATTTAACAACTGTGTTATTAACTAACAGCTGCAGTGATTCATTTAACAACTCTGGCATGAAAAGTCGTAAAATGAGGCAAAGCTCACTTAACTGTCTTGATTAGCAACTGAAATTTTGGGCTCAATTGTGGTCATAAACTGAGGATTACTTGTACCTATTGAGAATGAAATGTATGTAAAAGAAGCTTGGTGAAGTAATTTCATTATGTTGATTGGAGGAAAATTTAAGAATTTAAAAATGTACCAGATTGACCTTTCCATTTTGTTAAAACATTTGTCCTTTCAATCCCTCTCTCTGTTTTGAGAAACACTATGCTAGAATTTAAAAGCATTTTAGATGTATGAACAATAAACTTAGCATCACACATCAGTGTATAATTTCTCTCTTTGTTCTTTGCAGGTTTTTCAGGATCTTGGTACAATGGTGTTATCCAGTGCTTTTAAAGGATACAATATTTGTCTTTTTGCTTATGGACAGACAGGTTCAGGAAAAACATATACCATGATGGGAACTCCAGTGAGTTTATACCCTTGATTCTATACTTTGCTTTATCTTTTTTATATATATATAAAATAGTTTTAACATTCAAGATCACCATATGAATGACTTTTTAAAAAAATATTGGCAACTTAATTGTTTGCATTAATGTAACAGATGTAACCGTTTCCTAGTTCATATTAAAATAATACTTGTCATACTATTTTACAAGAATATAGTCCTATACTAATAATATACTCCTCTATATAAGAAAGCATGTAAAATAATATCATGGAATGCCAGTTAGACTGGCTTTGTCAAGTTGAAGCACAGCTGTGATGAACATTTTAAGCCGGGATATTATTTTGTGCTATTCCCTTTGCTTGGCATGTAGCTTCCTGTGTGTTTCCTCAACACTAACTCAACACTTTTGATCAATGTTTTTCAATCTTAACAACTTTTAAGATGAGGGGACTTCAACTCTCATCATGGCTCAGTAGGCTGGCTGGATAATTCCAGAATGGTACAACTTGCCACAGCCAAAACTCACCACAGCCAGCTCACTTCAGGACAACATGCCATGGCCAACTCACTGTGGGACCACTGACTACAAGACAGTTTAATAATTCTACTTAATTATTTAAAATAAAGAAAATTTTATTTTAATTTTTGCCATTCACATTTCATTCTGTCTTTCCCTTTGCATCCTTTCTTTAATGATTCTATTCCACCATTTCTTTGATATTAGTGTGACTCTTGTCCTCTAGCGAGTTGTCCTGAGATGAGTTGGCTGTGGCGAGTTGGCCATGGAGAATTGTCGTAGACCTGGGGAATTTTGGAAGTTGAATCAATAGTAGTGATTCTTCTAAAACACGAAAGGAGCAGTTTTCACATAATCTCTTCTCTTTTTTCAAGGCTTCCATTGGATTAACGCCTCGGATATGTCAGGTAGTTATGTTATTAAATGAAATATTTCATTTAAGTTTGTCACAGAAGATAGAAAATATAAATTATTGCTTTCCATAGGGTCTTTTTTCAAGAGAAGGTGCCTTTTCCAAGCAGTCAACATCATGCAGAGTAGAAGTTAGGTAGGTATTGCTTAATTTTCTCATAAGGCCATATATTTTTACTAATTCTTCTTTTCTGTATCAAACCACTGGTAATTTCTTTCTTTCTGTGTTTCTTTGAACTAGAAAGCATAATTATTGTCATTTGTAATTACATCATGTTTTAGAGGATGTTTGGATGTCTAATATTTGGACTGTGTTCAGTTATCCTTAAACAAGTCCCATAAACTTTATAGAACTTTTACATTGCAGTATATACTTAAATAATAGCTTTTACAGATGTAAAACTGCAGGGAATGGAATTAATAGGGCTTTGCAGTATTTCTGATTTGATTCCTAAAAGGTACTTAAGAGTGTCTAGGAATATGAACCTAGCAGCTTCTACAACTCTTTAAAACAATCATTCCTTTTTGTAGGATTGTTCAGTCACCCTTTGCACTTTCCATAAAATCCCAAGAAAGGCTACTTTAAAGAATTATAATCGGGTATTACGTTCATTCCTCTGAAGCAGAGTTGGGCTGCTTCCAATTCTCACTGGTTCGGACAAACTGGTAGTTAAGATTCTGCACAGTTCGGCGAGCTGGCCCCGCCCCCACTCATTTTTCAGCCTATTTTCCGGGGCGTTTTTCAGCCCAAGAAAAGACATGAAAATGGCCTGGAAACGGCCTGAAAAACAGCCAAAAATGGCCAAACAACAGGCCGAAAAATGGGCAGGGGCGGGGTCAGCCAGTGGTGGGATTAGCCCCAACTGGCTGAATCCTACCTCTGCCTTTGAGGCGAGTGGCTGGGAGACAGGGCTGGGTGTGATAAGTGACGTCACCCACCCAGTCACATGACCAACCGGCCATGCCTACCCCGCCAGAGAACTGGTTGTTAAGTTATTCAAGCCCCATCACTGCTCTGAAGGCTTTTTGGAACTGAATGCAAGGCAATTCACAACTCTCCAATAGAGATTCCCTTTCTTAACAAGAATCTTCTCTGAGAGGAAAGGATCATTTTAGATTGAAACATAGTATTAACACCTAAGGTTGCTGTGCCTCCCTACCAAATATTCTCCAAAGCTATTCTTACAATATTTTGTGACTGTATTCATTTCATCACAAAAATAGCCAGAGCAGACATCAAACCAACCAATAAAAGAATGCCAAAATTATTTTTTGCCAGACTCTCTATTGTTTTCCCTACTATTACTTTGCTGGATTGATCTTGCTACTTCAGTGTCCAAATAGTTAGATGAAGAATATTTTGCTCATCTCTATTTCTTTCTTTCTAGTTTCCTAGAAATTTATAATGAGCAAGTCCGCGACTTATTAAGGCAGTCAGACCATAAGAAGCCGTATACGCTTCGTGTCCGTGAACACCCTGAGATGGGGCCATATGTTCAAGGTAATGTCTTTTTAAAGGTAGATATTATTCAGAGAGAGAGAAATATTTTACTTTAGCTTTATTTCCTTACATCTTGTGAAATGTTTTTTCATTTTATCATTCATTTTGCCATTGCTTTTGCTTACTGTTTCTAGAAGTTCTGAGGGATGGATGGAGATCCAGTGTTATTCAAAGAGCTTGTGGCACTTCTACATTTCCCTAACTTTATGTTTTATGCATCTAGCTATCTAATGACTACCAGTTGCTGCCAAAATTTATTGGAGATAAACTGTCAATGATTTTTGACAAGAAAATTATTGAATATAAACCTTGAATATATTATTCTTAATAGTAAAGCTACTAATGAAAAACTACCAAAAGCTACAATTATTAATACAAACTACTTTTGAAAGGTGTACTTTGTATGGAGTTGTGTAGATAAGATTGTTCTTGACAAATCAAGTAATTGGGACCTAGCTAATTACATCTGCCTAACCTTTAGGGGGCATTCCATATAAGGCTGTTGTATTTAATGTGTGTCTAAGGATCAGTTCATAAGGTCTTGAAAAGTACTGATGTCTTTCTGCTGGTAACGGTGAAACACTGAACACAGTTCAGACTTTGAAAAAAGGTTGTCTCCATGTCTAAAATTAAAATAAAACCCTCTTTGTTTAACAAGGTCATGTGATAGACATAAAATGCTTTACTGTATACCCAGACTGAACTGATTTCAAAATTGATAATTCAGTTTGAATGAATTATTAATCATATCATACTGATAGTGTAATATGAACCTGATATATGAATATGTTAGGTCAGTACCTAACATGACCAGCAAGTCTTGAAAGGTCAGAAGGAAGAATTGGTTTAGGATAGTCCCAGTTTTCCAGCTAACTGTGGTTCAGTCTGTTTACGTGTTGTGAGATTAAAGAGCTTTCATTGTGCCTTCTGTGCTCTTGTGTCTTCTATAATTTTCCAAACCCATTTTACCTACTTATTTGGATATTGCTTGGAAAGTATCTGTCACATGTTATGTTTTAATAGAGGTTAATAAGGGAAAAGGAGACATGGGAAATTATTTGAAAAGTATGGAGAATGCTTTGTGCAATCACTAGGTATCCTTAGTAATATGTATTTCTTATCTTCCATACAATTAAAATACATTATGTAACTGAAGTTTGATTCATTGATTTTGCATTCACAATGACCTTAAACAGTTATCCCTTCTTATTCCAGCAATACTGTGATCCTCTGTTTCATCCATAATATATTTTTCTATTTGAAATCTTTGTTTTATTAAATATATATCCTACACTTCTGTCTTTTTGGCATTCAAGGTAGCTTATAACACATTATTAAGTGTAAAAAATCAAAGGAACACAGTAAAAATAAAAAAACCCAGAAACATTAAAATAAAAAAATTGATTGAAGTAATAATTAAACATTTGGTGGAAGATATTGTTCTTTTTTCATTTTTTCTCCCTGAAGGTGCTGTTTTTGGTAATAGGCCAAAAACATCCCCTTGGTTAGTACATTCCACAAGCTGGGCTCCACACAGGAAAAAATCTCCTAGGATATCCAGTTAGGAAAGCTTCTGCTGCAGGAGAGGTCATCGAAAGAGTCTCTCCTGCTAATCTCAATGTCACAGAAGATTTCTATTCTTCAGTGCCCTCTGGATTCCTGAGACAGGAATGTCTATGGAGATTCTCAGTCATCCAGGTCATGGCTGTCCTAAAGATGCTTTTTCAAGAGGCAACTGGACTTTCTGGTTTTTCTTTGAAGACATTTCCCTTCTCATCCAAGAGCTGAAGAAGCTGCTTGGAAGCGAAACGTCTTCAAAGAAAAACCAGAAAGTCTAGCTGCCTCTTGAAAAAGCATCTTTGGGATAAAACACTGGAAGATTTTTTTTTTTTTAAGTATTGATTCTTCTTCCTTAAAATCTCTTCCAGGGCTATCTCAACATGTGGTTACAGACTACAGACAAGTAGTTGAACTTCTGGAAGAAGGGATAGCAAATAGGTATTTTGTATTAAAGTACTCTAATTCATGTTAGCTTATTTATAATTATTTTTCTCATTGTCCTTCTATATTGCAGCTTTCATCAGCAAAAGGAATGGTTAATCGTTGCAAGGAATTATCATCCTCTATAATAACATACTAATTTTCAACACTGCAGATATAATCATGATTAAATAATAGTTTCTTAATTTAAATGTTTTAATTCTGTGAAACTTATTTTCTTGTGTTTTATAAAAATTATAGACATAATCTAGATATATAGCGGTATGTGACATCCATGTGATTCTATATAGCTGAGTCATGTGGTAGAATATAGTTTTACATTTACATTTACAATTCCAAGGATAATCCATATATGGTCTAAATTTCAGCTGCTTCTACCAAAATTTGAATCTTGTGATATGATGGTTAACTTGTTTTCATATTTATTCTTCCATATAAATTATCATAGTTACTATTACCTACCTCACAAAGAATAAAATATTAACTTTTCTTTTCTTGTGTGTAGAATCACAGCAGCTACCCATGTTCATGATGCCAGCAGTAGATCCCATGCTATTTTCACCATCCAATATACTCAAGTTAGTTGAATTTTCCCAGTAATTTTTGAAACCCATAAAAGCAAGTCTTGTTGGTGCTGATTTCATCTATGAATACATTGTAACTAAATGACATTGTCATAAAAGTAATTTGAACCATGGAGCCTTATACTATACTCGTAAATGTGTAACCACTGATGAGTGGCATTTTTTTTTCAATTGAAAGCTGCATCCCCTTCAGTTGAGCTAATTTAATATTGATGAGTAGGGTGAAAACCAAAAGTGAGAAGGCCATCATTATCTCTTCCTCTCTTTTTCCCCCTCATATCCTTCTGTCTCTCCTTTATGCCAACCTATCTTCCGTTTTCACACTTTCTCCCTCTCTGCCCAATGAACTGCTAAGATAAAAGGTTGATATTGCCTTTGCAGCTTCATATCTGATGAACATCTTCAGTGTTTATGTTATCTTAAAGTAGATTAGGAATTTTAATTATGATGTTCTTCATCATAGCCTCTCCCTCTCATGGTTTGATTTTATTTTTGCTATTTGGATTGCATATTGTTTTAATTATTGTTTTAAATTTGACATAACATCCAAGAATTGAGCAGGATAAAAATCAAATAAGTACATATACTTTGCAAGCGTGCAATCCCATTGGTATAAATGGAGGTTGACCGCTTGAAGCACCTCACACAATCAGTCTGTTCTAGAGTATAGAAAAAATAGAATTTTTACTCTGAAATCACATTGCTTAAATTTGTTTTCCTTCAGGCTATACTTGAGAATAATCTGCCTTCTGAAACCGCAAGCAAGATCAATTTAGTGGACCTTGCAGGCAGGTAATACTTAGTTTTTGGAGATAACCTCTTAAAAGCCAATTATGCATGATTGTTTACTGTTAATAACAATTTCTCTTTTATACTATTTGCTGTGGAATTTCTGTGTGTGGATTCTGTGGGAATTCTTGGGTACATCTGAAGTTATAAAGGAAGCAGAGTGATGCGGTGGCCTAGAGATTGTGAGCTCTCACCTCACAATCAGGAGGCTGTGAGTTTGATCCTAGGTAGAGGCAGATATTTCTCTCTCTGGGCACCATGAGAATATATCTGCTGAACAAAGCTCCACATTGGTGACAGGAAGGGCATCCAGCCATTAAATGATCTGCTAGCCCTATTCAGTTGCAAGAGATTATGGCAGGGGTGAAATCCAGCAGGTTCTGACAGATTCTGGAGAACCAGTAGCGGAAATTTTGAGTAGTGGTTCAGAGAACTGGCAAATGCCACCTCTGGCTGCCCCAGAGTGGGGTGGGAATGGAGATTTTGCAATATCCTTCCCCCAGGAATTTTAATTTAGATAGCTGTGTGTAAATTGCCTTACACATGAGCTTGCGTACCTTTATTGGCTTTCTCATGTGCTTCAAAATAAAATCCAGAATAGATTTTGAAACTCACATCAATAAACTGATTATTAATACATTACAAATGTTGATGAACACCTTTCTGACAAATGTTCTTAATTGAAGGCAAAAGGTTGAGCTGACATTTGCCAAACATAATATATTGTGAAGGGAGAAGTAGTGAAATGGATTTTGTTAGAGCTGTATATAGCACTTAACAGATCATGTGAAGATGCATTTACTGTACATGGTGTGTGAGAATAATTTCAGTACTCTGGAAAAAATTAAACCTTGGAATGCTTCTGCCTTCTAGTGGATGCATATACAGGTTCTCAGTTCTTTGGAAGCAATTATATTTACATCTTGTCAATGTTATGATGCATCAGATTACCCATGATAGGATTGATGATAGAATTGTAATTCTGTAATATCTGGATGACCATACATGTGGTAAGTCCATGGATAAGTTATAGACTTTTGAATAGCAGGACTTCCTTGCCAAATTTAAACTTTACATGTTTTGGAAATATTAGAAAACTTTATGTAGGGGCTTATATTTGTGAAAATAGGTTATTCTTTTCATTATTTGAGAGTTGTAGAATGTTTTCTCATTTCTTATGCTGCTACTTTTATATGCTGATAATCATTGCTGTGACTTCAATGATCTCTTTGGTTATGTGTTTCAGTGAAAAGGCCGATCCTAGTTATTGCAAAAATCGAATCACAGAGGGTGCCAACATTAACAAATCATTAGTTACTCTTGGAATTGTCATCTCTACTTTAGGTAAAAATAAAATTAACCTTTATCTAAACCATAATGAAATGTTAATGGATCACCTATTGAACTTTTCCTATGATGCATACTTGCAAGCGGGCATGAGTAAATAAATGAAGTACTGTATTCATAAAATATTTCATTTGCTATTAGATGGGAGACAGGATTATAAAAGAAGCATTGGCTGCCCTCATACTTCATAAATTGTGACTTCTTGTCTTGTTCATCTCCTTTTTTTAAAGGAGCTCTTGATCTGTGGATTAATTAATTACAGCAGAGATGCACATCTCCAGTTTGAACGTGGTCCCAGAAATGTCATGCAGCCCCCTGAGGCTTCCTTATCTTGCAGATGACCAGCTGTGCCAATAACTCAAGTTTTCTCCAGTCCTCCTTTCCATACTGCTTTTCCATTGTCACTGTTGCTGCCATATACCTCTATTGTTTATCTTCTGTATATAATTTTCTTGGGGGTCCAACCTGTCTACTTCACTTCTTTACTACTACCAGAACAATAGTTAACCTACTGGTATTGTCTTGGCTTTTTGCTTATCTGTGATGAATTTGCAATCAATTTGCAGACAAGAGAAGCAGCATGGTGACTTGAAAGGACAGACTAGGAAGCATCATTCTTTGCCCTTCTGCTTTTCTTCTCACCTTTTTGCAAGAAATGAGTGCAAAGAACAGTGAAGAGTGCTGCTACTTTTATCCACTTTCAGCTTCTTCCTGCTAAGTTGCCTTATTTCCTGTTATCTTTTGGTATCAACAAGCAAACAGGAAGCAGCTGCAGTATTAAGGAGAAAGAAAGAGCAGTCCTTTTCTTTTAGACTTAAATTCCATCTCTGTGTTCTTTCTGTTTCCTTCCACTTTACTGCTTGACGACCATAACATTCAGAAATTTGGGCATATTGTGATTCCCTAAAGAGAGATGAAGAATGAATGGACTCTGCCTACCAGCCCCTTCCTAGAAATGGCAGTAGCAAACTCCTTGCTTTCAATGGTGGGAAAGTGTTAGCAATTTGCTAAAGAGAGTAGCAGCTTTTTGCTGAGAATGTATATACAATAATGAGAGAGAATGATGTGAGTCATTCATATGTGAGTATCTGGTGTCTGGTCACTTATATTAGTATTTTTCGTTGGCAGAAGCACCACAGACCAATCCTTTGCTGTTTCCAGGGCAGCCCTGCGGGCCAGATCTAAGTACCTCACGGGCCGCATCCTTGAGTTTGATACCCCTGAACAAAACAGTATAGTCTTAATCTTGGACTGTTCAAAGTTACTTTAGCATGAAAAAATATTTTTAGATTGTTTAAAATATTTTTTTTTATTGTATAAGTCTGACTTTTTTTTTTTTTTGCTTCTTAGCCGAAAACACTCAGATGTTCAGCAGCTGCCAGAGCATCAGCAGTATAGCCAGTGAAGTGGACAGTGACCGTACAGACAGTTACTGTGGCTCCCATATCAATAGCTGCAAGCGTCAAGCTTATATTCCATATCGGGATTCCATTCTTACTTGGCTTCTGAAGGATAGTTTGGGTGGCAATTCCAAGACCATAATGATTGCAAGTAAGTATAAAAATTTGCTTTGATTTCAGGAATGGTCATATGGTCTAAATATTCCTAAAAGCAGTATTCTATTAATTGCCCAAGGACAGTGTAATATTTCTCTGAAAGACGTGTAACATAAAAAATAATTGAGCAAGAGCTGTCTTGTCACGTTATAAATTTCAATATGGAATTGTATTTTACCTCTGTCAGTAGTTCCTAATGAGATACTATTGTTTATTTAAAAAGATTTATAAGCTGCTCTTACACTGTAGTTATGAAAGGCAGAGATCTGGCAACATGTAAAAAAAACCCTACACGCTGTTAATAATATAAAGAAAAAACGAGTAGAAACAGATTAAAATGAGATAATCTGCTAATTTATCAGCATAGCAAACTAAGTATGTGCTGCAATATGTTTTGATACTAGATAGAAAGGCAAAAACAAAAGCATTTTAAAAAATCCATACATTAGGCATTGTTTTTCTTTCCTGCATTCCAGCCAGAAATATCACTGCATCCGGTGTGTTTTGGAGAAATGCTTGTCTAGCCAATTTTAAAGAACGAACAGGGTTATGGGAGTAGATGGTCTATAGGTTTGCAGCAGCAAAGAGTTTTCAATGCCAGTAATACTTTTCAATTGTTCTAGAAACCTACCCAGTTACTGGGAAATTAATCTTATTTGTTCAATAGGTCAGGCAGCCATCACTGTCAAATAATGTATAAGCTAAAATTTGTAGAAAATTTTCAAACAGGGACAAGGATACAGCATGTTCCACTAATTTAGTCAAATGTTGTTAAGGCATGTGTCATTATGGCTAAATTTGTATTCTTTTGAGTAGGCATAATTTTGTCTCATACTTTATAAAAAGCATAGATCTGTTTGCCTGCTGGCTTATCTATCTATTTTAAGGAAGACTGACTTGAAAATGTTTGGGTGTAACCATCCGTTGCAAAGATAGATGACTTACCCATATTTTCAACAAAGTTTACTTTGGCAAAAGTTGTTTTTTGATTCATCTGTTATTTGAATTAACATCAAGATTTGGCCAATAAGTGATTAGATGCACAAACATATTTTATAGCATGTTAAATATGCTCCAACTCCAAGTTAGTGAAGAATCAGGAAAGCAATCACATAAAGCAAGGACCATTACTGTTTTAAGTCAGTTTCTCTTCAAAACATTTCAGTTTTTGTTACTGATAATTTCTGGTGATTTGGATGCGTGAAAGAGTAGCATATCAACTCATATTGCTCTTGGGTGGAAGAATAAAATGCAAATGGTTTTGCCTTCAAAATATCTAAAGCACATTTTATAATGTTTTTTAGTAATTTTCTTTTTCTATCTGTAGCTATTTCTCCTGCAAGCTGTTGCTATAATGAAACTGTGAACACCTTACGCTATGCTTCAAATGCCAAAAAAATTATTAATAAACCTCGAGTAAATGAGGTGAGCTACCTTCTGTGTTTCTTTTATTTTATTAAGCATTTTTCATAGCTCTCTAAAGGATTATATCATTTTTGTTTGTATAATTTTTATGCATTTTTAAAACAATTGATGCTGCAGTTCTTTTAGTGTCACCTTTTTTCCTAATACATTATAGTAGTTCTCACTTAATGACCACATTTGGGATCACCCACTCCCTTGCTAAACGATGCGATTGTTAAATGAAATGTCATGTGACTGTGTTGAACTTAATGGCATCAGTTTTGCTGTCGTGGTTAAGTGAATCACTGCAGGTTGTAAAGTGATGTGACTGCAACTTGTGACTTCCTGCCAGCTTCTCCAATGACTTCGAGTGTCAGAAGCCTGCTGTGAAGATCACAAATGGCAATCATATGACCATGGGATGCTGTGACCGTCATAAATGTACACCAGTTGCCAAATAATGATCATGTGACCATGGGACGCTGTAAATGCCATAAATGCATGTTGGTTCTTAAGCTCCTGAATCATGATCAGGTGATGCTACAACAGCTACAAGTTCAAAGATTAGTTGTAAAGCTACTTTTTACATACCATTGTAACTTTGACTAGTTGATGAATGAAGCAGTCAATAAGTGAGGATTATCTACTATATGTAGTAACAATAGCAATAGCAATAGCACTTAGACTTATTTACTTCTCCAAAGGGCTTTACAGCCCTCTCTGAGTGGTTTACAGAGTCAGCCTATTGCCCCCCAACAATCTGGGTCCTCATTTTACCAATCTGACAAGGATGGAAGGCTGATTCAACCTTGAGCCCCATCAGGATCGAACTCCTGGCAGTGGGCAGAGTTAGCCTGCAAAACTGCATTCTAACCACTGCGCAACTAGGGCTCATGTAAAGTATGCTGTCGTCATATTTACTTATTACATATGCAGTTCCCTAGTAATCATCACACATTAAGAGAGAAAATTTAATTTAGACATCTAATATCGGGAGAAGTAATAAAGTTGTGCAATCCCTAATTTGTTTTTCTTTCCTGGTAATTGGAAGGGCAGAATATATTGAGGGGTAATGCCAAAAAATGTCCAATAATATAGTTTAGAACCAATGAATTGTTTCCTTTTTAAAAAGTTCCTCTAATTTTTCAGGATGCAAATGTGAAACTGATTAGAGAATTACAAGAAGAAATACGTAGATTGAAGGTTATGTTGATGAATTTTGAGCTGGTATGTGCAACTGTATTACCTACATTCAATCAAAATCATTCAGTCCATCTGTATATATTGTTAGAAGTGTAATTCTGCTGTATATCAAATCTGATGGCAATCCAATATTTTCTGTTAAGATTGGTTTTCCTCAAGATATCAGTCAGATTTGTTACTGTCTGGATCCTAATCTGAACCAAGAAGCTTGCATCTCCAATTAAATCTTTTTTAAAAAAACCATTTTAGTTCTTAAGACCATATCCTATTTATTTTGTCATTCAAGTATTTTCTACTATTAATTTGGCAGAGTGTGTTGCAGCACCCGTGACTTACAATAGGACAAATTTCTGCTGTAATTTACAGGATGGTGCTGATTGGTTATTAGGAGAGACAGCAACTCTCCTTCCAAATTAGATTTCCGTTCACAAGAAGTCAATAAAAGGAGCAAGGGGAACAAATTACTCAAGTAATTTGAAGAAAAATGAGTAATTCAGAGATGCTATTATGTCCAGAAAGCTACCAAACCACTGAAGCTATTCCACAAGTACTGTGTTTCCCCGAAAATAAGACCTTCCTGGATAATAAGTCCAATCGGACTTTTAAGCACATGCACTAAAATAAGCCCCCCCTAAAAATAAGCCCTCCCTGAAAATAAGTCCTCCCCAAAAATATTTAAATGTATGTACAGCCGGTCCTGGCCATTTTTTTTGGTTAGGGTTAGACAGAGCTGGAAATCAGGTAAAATGGCAAGAGGAACCCCGTCTTGTTCCACGTGGCCCAAAATAATAAGACCTCCCTGAAAATAAGGCCAAGCGCTTATTTTGGGGTTCAAAAAAATATAAGACAGGGTCTTATTTCGGGAAAACATGGTTTTTGAAATTCAAAGGACTTTGGGTTTTTCTTTCTTCTTGTTTTTAAGTTTGTAAAATACTATTAGAAATGAATTTGAAAGTATGTAAGTTAAGAAGAAGTTTAAAAAAGATGTATTAGATTTTATCATCTTTAGAAAAAAAAATTAAAGGAAACCTTGGAGTTTCAAAATGGATATAAAAATGATTTCCCTAAGGTTAAAGAACATGAAAGAATATAGTGAAATTTTTTAATATAAATGATAATAGTCTACAAAGATCAATAAGTCTAATTAGAAATACATATTAATTCTCACAACAGGGAAGAAGAAAAAAGGGATTGTGGTTAAGATGGTGACGTACATTGTTTTAAACAAAGATTTTATTTGGTCCTGTTTCTGTTGGGGTTATGGTTTCTGATTTTTATACTTGATATAGAAAAAATGAAATTTATAGTTTTGGTTTGAAGATTTATAATTATGTAAGTTATAGAATTGGCTTTTAATACTTATAGATGAGGTAAAAAGTTGAGGCTATAACTGTATTAGAATTTTACTGTGTTGATAAGGGTTGGAAGTCAGCTTTTCGTATTTTTTTCCTTTTTCTCTCTAAATCCTTCACTACCCCCTTTTCTTTTCTTTTCTTTCCTTTCCTTTCCTTTCCTTTCCTTTTCTTTCCTTTTCTTAATTTATATTTCCCATTGTATTTTATATGATAATAAACTTCAATAAAATACTTAAAAAATAATAAGAAAGAGAAAATGAAATGTACTGGATACCACAAAACACTTATCTAGAGAAATGTGAACAAGAAAATTGAACCTACATTATTTTGTCATTAATCTGTACTGAATATAGAAACATTTCAGAAATCTTATTAATGCTTTGTCTCCACAGATGAATTCTAGCCCTTCATGGAGTGATGACAAAGAAGGAAATCTTACAGAATTAGTACTTCAAAATGAAATTAAGGTTGGTATGCATTGTGTTTTTCTCAAAACTGTGGAAAAGGAGATTGTGGTCACAGATTAATGTCTGGGAGAGAAGGGAAAAAGAAAAAAAATTAGAGTGGATGAAGAGTTTTGAAATATGTCCGAGTATTTCTGTGCAATAAATAAAATGGGTAAGTTGTGAATGAAATGAAACCCAATCATTTTTTTAATGGTTATATTAATATAAGCAAGACTTAACTAAAAAGAGACACTGCTGACAGTGATAGTTTTTACATTTATAAAATGGGTGTTCTAGATTTCTGATTCTGACTTCACCATTGATTTTGCTTGTCGGAAGGTCACAAAAGGTGATCACATGACTCCAGGACACTGCAACCATCACAAATATGAGTCAGTTGCCAACAACATTTGGAGTAATACATAACTGTTATAAAAAGTTTTTTATCCTGCCCTTATTGTTTTTTTATAAATAACTCAAAGCAGCCAACAAACCATATCTGTCTCCTCATATCTTCCCTTCTGAGGTGAATTGGGCTGAGAGGGAATGACTGGTCCAAAGTCTCCCAGCTGGCGTTCAGGCCTAGGACAGGATGAACTCACCATCTCCTGGTTTCTAGGCAAGCAGCTAAACCACTGCACCAAACTGGCTCTCAATTTTTTTTTTTTAAATTTGATTTATATACCGCCCTTCTCCGAAGACTCAGGGCGGCTTATAATGCATTAAGCAATAGCCTTCATACTTTTGTATATTTATACAAAGTCAGCTTATTGCCCCCACAATCTGTGTCCTCATTTTACCTTCCTTAGAAAGGATGGAAGGCTGAGTCAACCTTGAGTCAAATTTTGTTTTACTTGCATGAAAAAAATATTAAAATAAGCACTTTTTTCTCATTTATCATCCCTAAAGATTGACCAGTTGACCAAAGACTGGACAGATAAATGGATTAACAGAAAAGCTATTATGGAAGAATACAGCGTGGATATCAACAAGAAAAAAGCTGGAGTGACAATAGATTCCAATTTACCTCATTTCGTGGCCATGGACGATGACATCCTTAGTACTGGAGTCATACTGTACCATCTCAGGGTGAGAGGAGAATTCTGTGTTTAGCTATTACTTCAAAATGACATAAGACTTAATAAGAATTGAAAACTTTAATCTGCAATACTTGTCTAATAACAAGGTTTCAAAGGTTTTGAAAAGGTTCAGAAAATAGAATGTATAAATGTTCATATTTTCATTCAAATATTTCTGCTCTTATGTCTAATATTGTATTTTTTTGGACTATAAGACGTTTGAAGTATAAGACACACCTAGCTTTTGGGGAGGAAAATAAGAAAAAAAAATCTGCCTCTGCCTCCCAGCCATTTGCCTCTTTGCAGCAAACAGCGGGGTCAGCTTCAGCACAGCCTGATTTAGCACCAGCAGCTAATTGGTGGTTGGATCTACCTCCCGGAATACCTCCTATCAGCTGTTCCAGATTGCGGGGATCACCCCCACCCATTGCGCCGGCACGCCCATCGCCGCTGCCACCTATCGCCGCCTCCGTGTACCTCATTTTTGGCCTCTGTATACCCCATTTTCAGCCTCCACGCATCCTGTTTTTGGCTTCCATGTGCCCCATTTTCAGCCTCCACACATCCCATTTTCAGCCAGTTCCAGGCGGCAGGGATAGGTGACGATCCCCAATGCCTGGAACTGGCCGAAAATGAATGCGCGAAGGCTGAAAATGGGGCGCGCAGAGGTGGCAATAGGTGGCAGTGGCAATGGGTGGCGCTGGTAGCGATGGGCACCGCAGCCTTGAACAGCTGATAGGAGGTATTCCAGGAGGCAGATCCAACTGCCAGTTTGCTGCTCATGCTAAATCAGGCTGTGCTGAAGCTGACCACGCTGTCTGCTGTTTGCTGCAAGGAGGCAAATGGCTGGGAGGCAGAGGCTGAAGGGTGGGGGCTGACAGGTGTGCGGGACTTTGGCAACATTCACTGTATAAGACACACAGACATTTCCACCACTTTTTTTGAGGGGGGAGTACATCTTATACTCCGAAAAATACAGTATATTATTGGGGCTTCATAGTAGTGTTTGTAAGGAAAAACCTTATTTATTAAAAGTCTGAATAGCAAAATCAACAACATAATAATAAAGACTACATAGTAATAAAGAATAGCAGAAACTTTTAATAATGAGCTATATTCTTAATAAGTGATAGTTTATCTTTACCATAATAATCATACTTACTTCATCATGGAATGTAATATTTCTGCATGTTATTGTTGTTATGATTTACATGTTGTGTCACCCAAACCTTAAAGTTCTCACGTTCTAAATTATAATTGCCAGTAGTTTTTTATTTTTATTTTAAATCTATCCATATGCTGAAAAGGAAAATATGATGCTACATATGAAATATTTCCAGTTTGGTAATAAATATAAGCATTTTAAAGTTTTCAAAATTATTAAATGTACATATCTATGCTCAAAGTATACGAAGGCTATCTTATACGGCAAAAAGAAAAGGACAGTGGATAGATTAAAAAGAAATGTATTTTTCAAATCAAAATTTATACCCAGAACTAGAACGTCCAACTTCTTAATCACTTGCCTAAGAGGTGGATAAGGAAGTTGTAATATAAATTATAATACCTGTGCATTTTAATATTGTCATGTTTGCTCTTAAAGTATTTAAAATATAATGCTAGTCTTATTTGCTGTTTATAATAACTAATGCAACGTATTTAGAATTGACAGTTTATGCTTTGCATAAAATTTTCAACTGAGTTTGTATGACCCAATACTTTCCTTTAAAAATTTCAATTTAGGCTCCTTTCCAATTAATAATTGTATACAGAAGTTTAGCCTCAGCTCGAGGATGCCTCAGTTACAATTCATAAAGTTTAGCTCTACTTCTTTTACATTCCTTCTGGGGCCAGTTTTCTGAGCTGTTGTGAAAGCAGTTTGTCAATCTTCTGTCAACACAGGTCTTGCTGTTTTGTATGATGCGAGGCACTTCCGTTGCAGCTGTAGTGGTGATGGTGAGAGGCTGGGATTTGCTCAGTTCCTACTGTCCTCTTCTGGACTATGGGAGTGGGGCAGGCAATCCACTCAACTCTACCCCACCCAAAGAGATTTGCCTTTTCTTCCATAGGTGGATATGTGACTGATAGGCAGATATTTCAACCAAAGACCTTTTGCTGCTAATGGCTATGGCCAGCAAAACCATCCTGCTGAGCAAATCTGCCTAACAGCCTCCTCATGCTCTGTGGATCATCTCCATCTTTATGGGGCATGCGGATGGAGGCTGCTCATGGTCTGGGTTGGGACTTCCCAATAAAGTAGGAGGGAACCAGCTCTCCTTCTTTTTGGGAAGGCTGTCAGTCCCAGATCCATGAGGCTGGAGTGATGGAAGCTATGCTAGCCATCTATCAAAATGTGTCCCTTCTTCCATCTTCTCCCTATGCTAGGCAGGATGGTTATTGGATGTTTTCCTTGCCAGCAGGAAAATCCACCTCTCACTTCATCTTATTTAATCTGCAGTATACATTTAGGCCAATCCCACTCATGAACCACATTAATGAAGCAGAGTAGACATTTTAGGGACTGGAGGCCATTGCAGAGATTATATAAAGTCCATTCTTATTATTGATATTTCAGCAAAATTATTGTGATATAATTAAGGGGGAGATGTATGAAGTTAAGGAATTGGTGTTTATGTTTATTAATATATCACATTCCTTTCTTTTTTCTAAACTAACATCTATTGTTTAAAATATGCATATTGTTTAATTTCAGTTGGCAAAAAATATTTCAGTTAGCCTGATGAACTTTTTTCATCTTAAAGTTCTGGCACACGGATGATTTCGTCATACTTATGCAGCTGAAATATTTTGCTTAAGTGTTCAATTTGAACAGAAAACTGGATCCTTTTCAAATGTCTGTTCAGAAGCTTGCCAAGATTAGGAAGAATTCTGTTGTGGCAAAGCAATACCTCTGAACAGCTGGCTAGATTTATTTTTATTTTATTTTTTTTGAATTTTTGCAATCCTCCTACATCAGATTCAGAAAGACTGCAGTAGAAATATTGTTTAAATAATTATTTTAAATATTGGCATGCTGGTCTTCATAACAAAGCAAAAAAGGTTTTCCTCCATTCATATTAATTAATTTACAGTACTTGAAAGTGGCTGAGGATATCTTTATATGGAAAGAAGCCTAGTTTGCAGATTTTATCAACAGGATGCTTATTTAAACCCTTTTAAGCCTATTTCATTAACACTACACTAACAACTTTGTCCCCTCTTTCTTTGCTTCTAGATGCTGCTTTTTTCTTTTCTTTATGCTTTGCCCTTTTTAAAATTCATGTATCTGTAATTTCAACTGAGGAACAAGAAGGTAAAACGATGTTTTTCATTTCCATAATAAAACGCTGCTGCACCATGTATATGAGCAGCAAAGAAGATCAAAATATACTTCTTGTTTATATTTTAACATACCTATTTATGGATCTTGGCTGATGGTAGCAATTGCTATAAAATTGGAAATTTAAAATTACAGTGAAATGAACTCTCTTAAGGGGGAGAAAGGATCATTTGTGTCACTGGGTCACATGTTCGCCGTGCCTGATAATACTATATTTCAGTGATATAAAAGTACTCTGATCCACAATCCTGCTTTCTTATTAAATACAGACTAGCTTATGTTGTATGTAATGAAAAATCTATAAATTTTAGATGTGTACCATCTAGATTTATTGCTGTCAAAGAAAATTCCTTGTTCAGATAAAAAAATGTTAATATAGGTAATTGCTTTTTGCTAATCCTGATAATGAATTAAATTTGATGTGGTTACTTTTTTTTTTTTAGGAAGGAACAACCAAAATTGGAAGAAGTGATTCAAACCAGGACCAAGATATTGGTAAGAATTATGATATATATAATCCAGGAGTTTACAGTCTTAAAATCGCCTCAATTAAAAGCTACATTATGGTTTTTCATGGTTCCATTTATTGGGCATATATGTAGTTGAAGTTGCCAAGAAAACTGCTTGGAGATGTTCATAAGATAACCAGGAGTTGAGCTTAATTGAAAGATTTGGCTAATTTTATACATTGACCAACATTAAATTCATCAAATGATATATGTAGGATATTATATTCCATTATAAATAAATAACATAAGTTTGATAATTATGCTATAATGTATTACAATTGGTAGTAAATTATAATTTGTACTGTACTGGCCCAGTACAGTCAGCTACAAAACAAAATAATTCTTTCAGAAAACGGTTATGCTGGGTATTGTGAGGCAAGTAAATCCTGTGGATAAGGAAATCATTCTTTAAGCACATTTATTGTATTGAGATTGGGCCATTTTAAAATTAAATTTTAATGATTGAACAAAATTTTGATCCTGATGGGAACACTGATATGTGTAAACATGCAAGTATTCCCTTCACCCCGTATACAACTCTCACATGCATATACCATACCCACTGCTCCTCACCATTTTTCTACCCATTTGTATACAAACCTGAGAAGAAATATGCGACAATATTGTTTTCTACAGCCACCTGCTTTTATTTTATTAATTTTTTATTAAAATTTATGGTTTTAAAGTTAGTTATTGAGAGGAAGATGAAAAAATGTCCTTGAGAAGCAGAGGCATAAAAGCTGTTCATCTCCAAGCACAGTTCTTGGAGAGTAAAGGTAAACCTAATCCTTTTCCATGTTTAGCTGTGTTGCTCAAGATAATTGCTTTCCCTTCTGCTCATGCAATGAAAAAATGACAGTCTTCCACCACATTGACATGGGTTGTAGGAGATGGAAGCAGCAAAAAAGTGTCTTCTTTCTTCTAGGAACCAATGGAAATTATTTGTTTTCTTTTAATAACTTTCAGCAAGCAATCTGATCCAGCCAGCTAACACATTAACCTGGTTTATGAGCATTAAATTGCTGTTTTTCCACTAATTATAATAACAGCAAAGTAGCAGCCCATTTCCTGTTGCTCAGCTGTTCATACTGACTAACTGGTTGCCAGAGGGGATAGTAACCTGCAAGCCATCCATCCATGTCTTCATCATTTTAGGCATTGTAGAAATTATTATTACTACTAATAAACATATCAATTCTGACAAGTTTTTCTAGATACACTGAAGGTTTGAAATCCATACACTTTGTAGTGTTGCAGGGTCAGGGGATTGAAAGGGACCATTGTATTGTAGACAATCGGCATGGGATTGTGACTCTGCGGCCTCTTCAGGGAGCTCATTGTGTTGTAAATCATCACAAAGTAACTGATTCTGTTCGTTTATCACAAGGTAAGAATTTGATGTTCACGGAATTTTTAATGCCTAAGATTCATACTTAAGGATGAAATCAGATATAGAATTAATAGTAGCTAATGACAGTTCTATCTTCCCTAGGTTTATCTATTCCCTTTAAAATCCTTTAAAACCATCTAAATTGGTGATCATAGTACACATTTTTCTTCCTCTTTCATAATATTTGAATATGAGTCATCCATTAAATTTCTTAGCAATATAGTCAGGACAGACAAAAGAAAGTAATTCTGTACATCATACATAATCTATGGAATTAACTTTATAATATGTTCCCTGAGGGAGCAAATGAGTGTATTTCTGTATTGACGTTCAAGCATTTGAAGCACTGTATGGTTAAACTGCTCTGATCAGTCTGATAAATTTCCTTTCTGGCCAACGTGTCTCCTTAGGTAAGTGAGCCAAGATAGATGCACTTTCAGATTAATTCCCCATACATGGTGAAGATTAATTCAAATTTAATGTTAATTCATATGTCTTTGTATTTTATTGTTGCTTTATTTTATTTTTATCCTTGCTTACTATTTTAGTCCCTTATATAGCCTTCTTTTTGGAATTTGTATTTTTCCATTATCTGGCCTCTATAAAGAAAGCCCTGTCAATATTTATAGGATGATGATGACAATCTATAGTTTAAATATACATTAAATATTTTCAAAAAAGTTTTTTCGTTTTCTAATTTTACTTCCCCCCCCCCCCCCCGCCCCTTTCCTCCTTTTTAGGAGCTGTAGTAGTCCTTGGCAAAACTCACAAATTTAGATTCAACCATCCTGCTGAAGCTGCCCTTTTAAGGCAGAGGCGTTCAGTAAGTTTAGAGAGCATTTTAATTTTCTTTCCCAATTGCTAAATATTTAAATGTTGTATGTTGTTAGCCAGTAAACTTAAATGCTTTTAAAAGGCATTGAAAAGAAAAAGAAAAGCCGATGATATGTGATTGAGAATTCACACAATCTTTTATTATGGTTTTTCTATTTACTATATACTACTTCTATTTACTATATACTATTTCTATTTACTATTTACTATATTTACTATATAGTGTTTATTTACTAAGACTGTATTACTATTCTTCTTCTCATCCTTCCTATTACCTATCTCCTCCCACTCATGACTATAACTATGTTGCTTGTATTTTTACGATTTATATTGTTCTGTTGTTTCCTAATATGATTTGATTGCTTATTAGTAACCTATGACTATCAATAAGTGTTGTATCTTATGATTCTTGATGAATGTATTTTTTCCTCTCTTTTTTTTCTTGTTTTTCCTTTTATGTACACTGAGAGCATATGCACCAAAGACAAATTCCTTGTGTGACCAGTCACACTTGGCCAATAAAGAATTCTATTCTATTCATTAGTCTTGCCACCCAGTCATATTTATTGGCTAGTTACACTCTCCTTGAGGATATAGTTTTCATATTACTCTCACCACCACCATTTCCATTTCAGAACATCAAAACACTTCTATAGTTTTCTAGTACTGAAGGAAATATATGTGGCATCATGTCCATCCTGCTTTTTTCCCTTTCTTCCTTCCTTTATTTTGTTGTAGATATAGCACTGGCATATTACACACTTATTCTGGTAACCCATGTGCCAGAGACTGAGAAGAGAACATTCAGGACATGATCTGCCATTACTGTAAAATACTTTGATTCATGTCTAAAATACTTTGATTCATATAAAAGTGAAATTAAATCTGTATTTGAGATATTCAGATACTGGGCTCCAGGAAATAAGGGGCTATATTCTACAATAAAACTCAGCAAAAATGAAGAATACAAGTAGTTTAATGCTTCTATGATTTTTATTTTCTTCCACATTGTTTGTTTTTAACAGATCTGTGAAACTTCCTCTGTAGTGAATTTCAGATCTCTTGAATGGCTAGATCTGGATGGAGATTTTTCTTCCCTTTCCTATAGCGTTTATCCAGCTGAAGCAGAAAGGTAGGTTAAAAGAAGTTTAACTGAACAAAGATGCCATTTTTCTGGATTCTGTATTTTTTTCCTTTTACAATGCTAGGATTAATTTCTTTTTACAATGTGAATGAGCCAGTATTAGAATTCATTCTTTCTTTACCTGTTCTATAGTAGTGAATTAACCAAACATTTTATTTATTTTAATTTTATTTTAATGTTTATATAAATAATATATTTCTTTTGTTTTTGAGAAAAATTGAAAGTGGAGGAAGTGGAGCATATCTACTAGAATTATGCCAATGGGAAATAAAGTAATTAAATATTACAGTTATATAGAGCAACACAGTGGCCTAGAGGTGAAGACGCTGTCTCCCACTCAGAAGGTTGAGAGTTCAATCTTAGACAGAGACAGATGTTTCTCTATCAAGGCACAAAGAGAAAATACCTGCTGAGAACTCCATGTAGGCGTCAGGAAGGGCATCTGTCCAGTAAATGCTCTGCTACACTCAATCACCCCAACCCCACCCTGAAGCAAGGGATTACAGGGCCCCTAAAAAAAAGTATTACAGTTATATGCAGTGAAAATGTATTGTTTGTTTTCACAGTATACGTTCTACAGTTGGCAATTAATGCAAATCTTCTAAAACGTGTCTGTCTAGGAAGATAATTTGGCGTATACAATAATGAATTGATTGGGTCATGATGTGCTGAAGATTGCAAACTAGGAGCCTGTGTATTTTGTGCATCTATGAATTATACAGTTAAAAACAGCACAGGGCTATATCTGCTTTCTGAATAGCATTATGCATAACTTACTAATTTATCGTAAGAGTAAGAATTGCACATTTATAGAAGTGAATTCATGCATACTCATCACCGAACATAGATTTTCTGGTCTCCCAACTTTGCGATTATTAGAGATGCTGAAATGAAAGATCAGAACAGAGTAAAACCCAGTGATCTGGATAAACTTGGCTTTTATTAATTAATTAGATTTGTATTCTGCCTTAAATCTATATACAATGCTCTGTTTCTGTTTTTCTCTTCATAAAAAAAAAGTGGTGTCAGGTAAACTGGACTACTAGATAGCCCAAAGTCATCTAGTAAACTGAGGGTAGACTGGAACTTAATTCCCCCCACCCCCAAGATCTTGTCCGGTGGACTTTTACATTATAGACAGTCTAGAAATTTTCAGATATTCAGTGGTATAAGTCGATATTAAATAATTAAATACCTTGAATAATTACTAATACCTCCAACATTGGAGGCTCAGCAGTTAAAGACACTGAGCTTGTTGGCTGGAAAACTGACAGCCTGGGTTCGAGACGTGAGCGCTGTGCGACGGGGTGAGCCCTCTTACTTGCCCCAGCTTTTGCTCACAACAGTTCGAAAGCATGCAAATGCATGTAGATAAATAGGCACCATGTTGGTGGGCAGGTAACAGTGTTTTGTGTGCCTTGGTGTATAACCATTGCCGGGGCTGCCTCCGTCCCAATTCCTAGGAAAGAAAAATCCTTGGCTCCATAGATTCAGAGAAAAGGTACTTTTACTAGGAGTGAATTGAATGCAACAATTTTCAGGCAAGATCTGAGGCAAAAGCCAGTGAAGCAGCAAATTGAAACAAACCGTAGAGCCCAACCCCCTGGTAGCTAGGCAACCAGAGGGCAAGCACTGGCCAGGAAATGTCTTGAGAAAGTCTTGATTCAAGTGCATCGTCTCTGACTGCTACATACCAAAACTCAAAGAAATGACCTTGGAGAGATAAGCAAAGTCCAGATTGTAGTTGCAAAGCTGCAATGAAAAATTCTCCCCTGACCTCCTCCCCCCATTTCCATGGCAGTAAGCAGCAAGCTGGCTGACAGTCAGACAGACCACAGAACAACACTAGCTCTCTTGACTAAGAAAGTGACACGAGCACCACCCCCTAGAGTTGGACACGACTGGACAGGGAAAACCTTTACCTTTACCAGCATTGCAATTTTGAGGAAGATTCCATAAAAGTTAAGGCTTGCTTCAATTTTGGAACAAGCACATTTGGGGAGGGTGTGTGGGACTGTCGTTTATGGAGGGCTTAGTAGATCATCTAATATATTGACCTCACTGAAAGAGGCAGGGTGGACCTTTGGGAATACAAGCAAGAATTGCCTTTAATTTGTGGGGAGAGCCTCTGTATTAAGATCATAGGTTAGTTGGGTGCATATAAACTGATGTTCTATAGACTGTAGATTGCTTACCTCTGATACAGAGTAGTCGTTTAGATTGTTTTGGGCCTTCATCAATTATTTTCCTTAACTGAGGGATCTAAAACAGTTGTTTCTATTGCTATTCATTTATAATTTCATCTTTCACAACTTCTTGCTCATATAAGACTGTCTGGAGGAGAAATTTTGTTACGATAATTGTTCAGGAACCATGCCCGTCACTGATCTTCTTATTGAAGTATCAGTAATAAGTTTAAAAGGGATTCCAGTATTTATTGCAATATTATCTGCAGTCTGTCTGCAGACATTTAAATTCAAGAGCTTTAATGTGCAAATCCAAAGACATAAATCCACATGTGGAAAGAAAAGCATGAAGAAAGCTACGCAATTATGTGAGCTAAGCTGATCCTGGCTATCCAAAAAGAAGCATGAAATCTGGTTAGTATTTGGATGGAAGACCATTAGAAATGCTCAGGATTATAAAATAGAGTGGGAATTTGAAAGCAATTCCATACAGATCATACAGATGTTAAGCGAATCTTTGACTTTGTTTTTCGGAAACCGGCTGAGAAGGTTGTAAGTGGGGAATCACATGATTCTGGGACAATGCAATTGTCATAAATACATGCCAGTTGCCAAGTGCCTGAATTTGGACACATGACCATGGGGATGTTACAACAATTGTAAGTGTGAAAAACAGTGAAAAATAACTTTTTTCAGTGTTGTTGGAACTTCAGTCATTAAACAAATGGTTGTAAATCAAGGACTAGCTGTACTGTACATCTTAACCAGCAACCTATAGTAGCTAAAGAAAATTAATTAGAACATTATGCATTTTTTGTATTCTAGGTGGCATTAGTTTATGTGATTGATAGGCAAGAGAAAAAATATTTTTTATAACACCTCCCCAACAGGGAATTACTGATAGGCTGAACCTCGTTTAAATATTCTAGCCTGCAGTAGATGCTGGAGAAATTGTAAGGTACACCCTTCAATCCATCTCTTAAAAATAAAAGTAAATAAATTGAAATGTATTTGGTTTTACTTTCTCAAAATCCATGTAAGAACCTTATGAATGATCCTTGGATCATAGGAGAGCAGCTTAAGAGCTTCGAATTTTAGCAGGTAGGAAAAATGACAAATCCCATTGCCAAACAGTGCAGCTAAATGTCAAAGTATAAAAAACACATGTTAGAAAAAAGAGAAAACTAAAAACCAAAAGGAAGGAAAAAAGACTATTGTAATCACCATGCAGTCCATTTAATTTTGAGCTGACTCTAGAACCGGCCTGGTGTGCTCTTAATTTCATCTGTCCTCTGATGTCAGATCCTGTGAATGATTTAGCCAGCACAATTGGTGTCATTTCTTCCCCCCCTTGTTTTTCAGGGACAACTACACACCTAATGCTTTTCCTGGTACAAGATTGGGCATAATTAACTGTTTCTGAGAAGGAGATGCAATGCATGTGACTTACTACATAAACTGATGAAAAGCTCTGTGTATTCCAAGCAACAGATATAATATTTAAATAATGAAGCCAATTAAATAATATTAAAACTAGTTCCCTGCACTTCAGTCTTTACTGTGTAGGATTTATTAATTCACCTCAGTGCTATTACAATAGGAACATCCACAGGAAAATCTGGGGGTTATCATATATCAATGGCAAAGCTGTAGAAAAAAATATATAAAGTATTATACTACTTTTAAATATTCAAGGTACTCATATTTCAGATTTAAATAATCATATTGTCTTTTCATAAACTTCAGTTGGGATAGGTTGGCAGAAGATTTGCTAACTGCTCCTGTATCAGCAAAATGTAGGTTTCATTTGTGTGTGTGTGTGTGTAAGCATATATATATGTGTGCACATAAAATTTAGAAAAACTTTATTAGGAATATTTGTATACATTTGAATTTTTACACCACAATGTAGCCTCCCTGTTCCATTTAACAAATTCTAGAGTTTTATCCTAGCTGTATTATTTCAAAAGAGTTAGCTGTAGAATTCCTAAATTAAATTTAATACCTGCTCCAGCATAGTTGTTACTGCTGGATCTTGTGCTTGGTTTATGATGTGGTTTTGGAAACCGACTCTTAATTGGATGGGTAGTCTAGGGAGGAGAGGAATTGAACAGGAATTCAAATTGCTGGATGAACCAATGTGTTGCAACTCAGATTCTAAAGGCTGCAACTGTCCAGCTTTCAATTATTTGGGAGAACGTTTAGCAGATTTATGATCTTTCCATACCTTTATTGTTTAAATCAAGCATTCAATAAAATCTACAAGAGCAAGAAATAATTTTCCTGATAAAGCTTTTTCTTTAAATAACATTATGGGTTTGAAGGACTATAGGGAATTTTTTTTTGCTCGTGTTGTGTTTTTGTGGCTTAGTATTTGACTGCAGCAAAGCCCTTGGTTTCATTGACTCGGCAGTTGCTGCCATAGCTACTAAAAACTGCATTATGCTGTAGAAGCCGCCAGATTCTGCATCAGCCTTAAAGGTGTTTTGTGAAGGGAGGAAGGAGTTATACAATAGGATTGCAGGAACCCGATGACAAAACATCACAGAGAAAATACGATTGTATTGAAGGTTAATTTAGTGTGCTTGCTGTAAAATAGAAACAAGAACCCAGCTGTTTCTACAATCCTGGAAATATTCTCAGTAATTAAATATATATGGTTTTTAAAGGTCAGTTGAATTTTTAAAATTTGCATTGTTACTTTTTCTTAATATAAATACCAATGTTGTAATAATGCTGTCATGCTTATTTACTTGAAGAGGAATATGTGTTAATATTCCAGAAGGGCATTCTGTATTCCACATGCTTTAGTTGATGTTGGATCTGCATTTCTAATTCCAAAAACAGAAACAGAACAGAGTCTTCTCTATCTCTTTCAGGTGGATTATTTATCTTTTGACGTTATGTTTGAATTTGAAAGCAGTGGAACTTAAGCAGTAAGGGACATTGGGGGTGGGGGTGGGGGCTTGAAATGCAGATATACGAGTGCCTGAAAGCATCTTAAATTGTTCCAATACTTGGATGGCAATGATTTTTTTATCTGTAAAACAGCTGGCTGCTTGATTTAGAGGTATGCTTTTAGAATGTAAAATGATTGGTTACTTTAGCTTTATTTAGCATATGCACTTTGCATAGAATATTTGGAAAAAAAAGAGTTGTAGATAAACAAAGCTAGAGTTCTAATTAAGGCTACACTATAATTTATTATCTATAAAATATATGTCAATCTAGTTATTGAAATTCATGTTTGTATTTTAAACATCAGAACTGATCGCGGTTTGAGAGATATAACCCCAGGCCATAACATTTTTCCGTTCTCTACAGTAGTTTTATTGTAACAGAGGTTCTAATGTATTCCACAATAACTATTGTCAGGTTCACTGTATGAAACTTCCTTACCCACCAACTTATTGCAGTGACCTTTCTGTTCTCAATATGGAGATGACTGTACTTATTTTTTGGTTTGAACGTGCTGACATCATTGGAACACCTTGTAGCAAAATACTCATAATTTCCCATATGACATTAACTGCGTACCGCTGCTTTATATCACAATATTAGCATACAATGTTATGCTTAGAAAAAATGTCATTTCCTGACAAGGAATGTTTCTTAAAGTCCATAATCCTTCCTATTGTTCTGGTCATAAGCAAAATATTTTTGCTACAAAGACTACAAAGAAGATAATTACATAGCCCTTCAGCTTTGTTCATACCCAATATCTGCTTTTAAAATATTGACATTTATCTAAATATTATAAGCTTCTCATTTAAGGTTATTAAAACCTGTCTTCCATTATTTAGTTTAAGTAAATTTTGGATGTGTCTACATTTCCCATTTTTATGTTTGGAGGGAGAAAGATAAAAGAGTTTTGGCCAATGTAAAATACTTGAGGACTATAAAAGAAACTATGATTTTAATTCAGAATAATCCACATACATTAATCTGTAAACCTAATAACAATGACTGGGTTTGTACATCACATGAAACACAGCTGGTCAGTCATATTTTAGCCTAATGTCTTGTGTGAATCCAGTTAGTAGCTTTGAACATTTCACCAGTTTGATTAATAGTACAAGCCTTTACAAGAATTCAGAAATATCAGGTAAAAGATAGACCAGACAGGATTCTGGGAATATTCTCTTAGATATGCTGGCCTCTCCCCAGCTATATTTCAACTACAGTTACGTTACTGCTTAAGCCTGATCTTCACGTGACACTTTAATCTGTCCAGAAGGGAAGTCTTGTAATATATTATCGAGGTCATCTGCTTTCAGTATTCAGTATTGTAAGTATCACTTTAATATTTCAAATGGAGTTTGGGATAAATGTGAACAGAAATTAATAGTGTGGAGTAAAATAGTAATATATTATCTTTTAAAAACAGGGTCTTACTGCTTTTAGAAAGTGTTGACTCATCTGTGTTTATAGACACCTGACAAATAAAAATGAGCTCTTGCAGCAAACAGGCACCGGAGATTTGCTTGCTTGTTTATTTATTTTTTTCAGGCACAAAGAGCATAATTTAATCTTTTTGGTACTGGACCTTATACTTTGCCTGTTCTTTATGCTTTTAGCTGATTCTGTTCAAAATATTAGTAGAAGGTCAAAGACAGAAAAAGCCAGATGGAATGAGAAGGGGGTTCAGAAACAGAGTGATGATTGCGGGAAGGATCATGTGTTTGCAGATAAACAAGTGAAGATAATGTGCTTACACATAAAGAATCATCCCTTCTCTTTTGTAAAAAATTGAAGTTTTTCAACCCCAAGGATTTTATCAGTTCACCCATCTTGCCAACAGAATGAAACAGGGAAGAAAATTCTCCTTCTTCTTCATTCTCCTGAACATCCCCACAATCTGCTATGGATTGTCAATCTGTGAAGAGGGGCCAAGGGGTTACCAAAAAAAGAGATCCATGTTGTGAACATTTACTCATAAGAAGAAATTATTCATAATGTGCACAGCCATCAGGTGTGATAATTGGAATTGCACCTAGTATTTAGCATAGTATAACACATTTTACATTTTATGCAAGGTTAGATGTGCAATTCTCCTCACTAAAGTTGGATTTAACAATAATTATAGTGATGGCCAGTTTTTTCTAGCCTTATAAAACTGTTTGTGTGAGTGACATAAATACAGTATCATATTTAGAGCATTGTTAATTCATGAGGTTCTGAATGTAATTAGGTAATAAAATATTTCCTTGGGTTGAATCTAACAGTTAATTAGTTTGAGCCACATACAATGTAGGATTGATTATATGACTGGTGGCAAAATAGAAGAGTGGATGAAATTTATCTTCTGTTTAATGTGACCAATGAGAATTCTGACCTTACTGTGACATCACACATATGAACTAGTCTGTTCTCAGACGCACAAATGCATTTTATCGTTTCAGCATATCATCTTTGCTATCCTTCACCAGTATTGAAATCTTTCATTATACAAATAGATGTTTCCATTTTTCCTGATTTAAAAGCTAATCTGACAGAAAAGGATAGAAACATGTTTCTTTCTTTATTTAAAATATTTTTCAAATTTTCTAGCAATGAACAGAAAGATCTTACATACGAAGAATGCCAGCCAAAGTTGAAAAACCATGAGATTCTTCAAAGCAAGGAAATTCAACATCAGCAACAATATATTGAAGAATTACAGCAGCAAATCCTGGATGGGCAGATCAAAGCTGAGCAAGAGCTGGAACGTGATCAGGCAGTAATTGATCAGCAGATCAGAGAAAGTATGACATGCTGAGTTTTCTACCTCTTATTAGAAGACCTCCAAGGTCCCTTCCAATTCTGTTACTCTGTAAATATTCTGTAAATTATCCATGGAATGATTCAACATGTTTTTGTCCTGTAACTGCTATCAGTGAGTAAGCATGGCCATAACATCTCTGTTGACATTGGTAGAATCAAAAATCCACAGGTACATTCAATCTTGTGGCCATGGTGGCACAGTGTTTAGACTGCAAGTACTGCAAGCTACTTCTGCTGACTGCCGATTGCCAGCAGTTTGGCAGTTCAAATCTCACCAGGCTCAAGGTTGACTCAGCCTTCCATCCTTCCGAGATTGGTAAAATGAGAACCCAGATTGTTGGGGGCAATACGCTGACTCTGTAAACCAGTTAGAGAGGGCTGTAAAAGCACTGTGAAGCGGTATATAAGTCTAAGTGCTATTGCTATTTAGTCTTATTCTCTTTTTAAAAGAATATTGATGATCATTGTGTTTTAAATATGCTAGCTTGTACTTAAAAAACTTCAGAACTTTTTCTATTTTAACACACACACACCATTTTTGTCACAAAGTAGACAATAGCTTATTTTCACATTATAACAGCTACAGAAAATCTTAAGATCAGGAAAAAAATTAAAACTCCAAAATTGGGTAGCTATTTTTGTTAATGTTTCTCACTCATTTCCTTTGTTTACAGTTTAAGTAATTAATTCAGAGCAGTAGCTTTCAGTACCACAACATTTTTTCTAGAAGGATAAAAGGTAGGCTCCGGTATATATATGTTTAATTTGATTTATTTTACCCTTTACACTGAATTAGATAAAGCAGTACTGATGCCAGAAATCAGCTTTGCTAACTAAGTGCTATTTGCAATTTAGCTGTTGTTAATAATAACAAGATTAAACACTAATGAGATTGTGTAGAACAGCAAAATTTCAAGGCCCTTGACTTTGTTTCAAAGGCAGTATAGGCAATAGATCACAGTTCATGGGATTACAAAAGCTATTTTGTACTGATTGACTGATTGAATTTACTGCTCATCTCAGCCATATGACTCTAAGCAGCTCACAATGCAACATCCATAAAAACACAGATAGCATCACAAAATATTATATAGTGAAAGCCCCTAAAAGATGATATCTCAATGAAAAAAAAAATAAGGGCTTCATTACCAGCTTGGCCCCAATGCCTAAAGTCTTCAAGGCTTTCTTTAAAAAAAAATTAATACTGTTAGGGCCAGTGGTGGGTTTCAAAATTTGTTACTACCAGTTCTGTGGGTGTGGCTTGGTGGGTGTGGCAGGGGAAAGATACTGTAAAATCTCCATTCCCTCCCCAATCCAGGGGAAGATTACTGCAAAATCCCCATTTCCTCCCGATCAGCTGGGACTTGGGAGGCAGAGAATAGATGGGGGCGGGGCCAGTCAGAATTTTTACTACCGGTTCTCCAAACTACTCAAAATTTTCACTACCAGTTCTCCAGAATTGGTCAGAACCTGCTGAACCTGCTGGTTAGGGCCATCTAAACTTCAGGGATAATGCTATTGCCTGACTTTATTTGATTTCTTGAAATGAAATGAAATTTAAAAAAAATCAAATGCATGAAGTATAATGGTGTAAGAAAAAGATCATGAAAACTTAACAGCATACTGTATAGTATTTATTAGCGTTTAAAATGCCATAGGACTTTCTGTTGTTTTTCCTGCAAAAAATTAACATTGACATTTTCCTGGATAAAATCAACATAGAAGTAATTTAATGTTACCTTAACGCTTAAATAGATCCTATCAGTTGATAATTAATAAGATGGTAAAAGAAAGTACACTTCTTAATTTTTGTGTTTATTTTGTTTGTTCCTAGATCGGCAGTGGATCATTGATGAAAAGAACCGTTTGGCTAGCCAGGAGCAGCGGGAGTCTGCTGTGCAGACTGAGGTCAAATCATACGCTGAAGCTGGAGTTCAGCATGAATCAGAATTGGAGATTGGCCCTTCCTTGACAGAGCAGAACAAAAAGAAATTAGTGCAGCTGGAACTTTTACGGAAATACTCTTTGAAAAAAGCAGAAAGGCATTTGAGTCAGAAGAAGCTTAAACTGCATTTGGAGAGGATTGTGAAGAAGCAGAAATTGTTAGAAGCAAAGAAAAACCTGGAATGGTTAGAAGCTACTTGCTGGGTCAGCAAAAACAGTGTGGTATCGCTGCAGTTCTTGAATCAAGATACCAGCATTAAATCTTCAAACAGCAAACATTCATGGCCAAGATCACACCCAAACCCAGAACCTTTGCAATGCCAAAGGAAGACTTGCTTAAAACCTCAGTCACCACAATCCAGGTAAATAACATTTGTACTTAGCTTTTAATGTATGTGTGAATGCATGTAGAAAGTGGTGGATATAAATGCCCTGGCAAGGCATTGAGTACCTCTCTGAGCCACATGCTTAAACTTTTCTGGGCTTCAGAATCCAGGTAGGGCATGGATCTATCTCACATATGTCAGAATATATCCTACACATCACCCTCTCTTCTTCTGTGGACTCAATAGGCTAAAACAAATCCCAGATAACATCGCAAGACACTATTTCATTCACCTCTAACTACCATGCAGAGTGCATGCCAGAGTGAATTTGAGTTGTTATAGCCTTAAAATGGCTACATTTTACATTTTTCAATGTAAAAGCCTCAATTCAAAATCAGAAATCCTCTAGGTTTCATTAATCAACCCCTAATGTGTTAAGATTGCCTGGTTAGGCAAACCATAGTCATTGAGAGCTACTAAAATTTAGTTTTAGTTCCAATATCTAAAATGAGCCCTTCCCCCGGAGTTCTTTTGTTCTTCAGACAAATTGTTTGGAAATAAGAATTGAATATAGGAATGAAGTAAATGCCACATTGTTAATTTATTGTACATTTATACATATCCTTTTTTGGTTAGATGACAGTCGTACTCTAAACTGTTAACATAGGTTCTCCTGGTCTCTTGTCTCAATCTGTCTAATCACAGAGCAGTCTCTTAGCTCCTGTATAAATGTCTGTAGTGGGGTAATTGTCTTACAAATTCATAGCAAAGTATGAGAAACTTATTCTCAAATTGTTTTTTTTACAGTATTTTCTTGAAGAGCGATCCCTCTCAGATATCTACCTCAGCACATAACTACGCATGCTCCATAATCAATCCACCGAGGAGATCTCCGTCTACAGAATATTTTCCCAGAGCAGTTCAAGAACATTCCAGAAGAAATACTCAAGAGGAAAAAGATGGATCTTTCTTAGCCCAGAAACAGATAATCAAAAAACAGGATATCTATTTCAGAAATAAAGGAATAGTGGAAAATAACTGTAATAATACAGAAGTCATTTATCTTGGTAAACATAAGCAAACAATGGAGAGATCAGATGATAGCTTAAGACCAACCAGAGCTAAAGCCCAGAGATCAAAGTCCTGTACATCTGATAATTTTAAGGAAAAGCATGAACCTGAAACGAAGAAGGAAGGGTCTGAAATTAAAGAACTAGAATTATTTCAACACTTAGAAAAGAATGCAGCTCAAGAAGCCAATAGAAAATTTCAGGTGGATAAAAGAAAAAAGCACCAAAGTTCATTTCCTGGAAATTCTGTTAAGAAACTTAAAAAGTCATCAATATATGGTAAACCATTTCTTCAACAATGGACCCAGACCCAAAAGAACTTTAAAAATGGTTCAGTGGACAAACATTCATTAGAAAAGCACGAATTCTTAAGGGTGGCACCTTTGGCAAGAAGTCTTAATAATCTAAATAGTCATGTATCACTTTGTCATGGAAAAAGAAGATGGCATAGTACTGAAATGCTGAATGATAGAATCTCCAAAACAGTCCCTGATCCACTGATCAGCTGGCAAGAAAGTGAGGATGTTGAGTTTTCTGACACAGATAGTAATTATTCAGTGGATTCCCTTTCATGTGCGACTTCAGAAGTCTTGACAGGACAATTGAGTCATCTGGAGGAATCGGCTCAAATAGACACTGTGGAATTAGAGGGTTCAGAAAGTGATGACAGCCAAATGTCACAAGATTCACTTACAGAAAAAGAAAACAATGCCGAAAGCCAAGATATGAACGATTCTTCTGAAATACATCCAGAACCTATTAAGCTCTGCAAAGACGAGAATTATCAATCTCTCTCACAGTTAACAAGCACATCCACATCAGGCGATCTGACTATCAATGCAAGAAGCTTTTCTCTGGATAGCTTAGGTGATGCTGATGAGGTGTCAGATCTTGCAGAAGAATCTAAACTAAATTCGTACGATGAAGTGCCAGCAGAAGTTTTTTGGAAGTTGCAAAACCTAAGGTCAGACACTGTTGTGAGTGATCAACAGAACAAGCTTGAGCTCTGTAGTGAAAATAGTACATTGAGTCTCAATGCAAGTTCTTTTTATTTAGATGTCAATTCACAGTTTAGTTCTGTTTGTGATCAAACACCGAACAAGATGAAAATAAGTTTCTCAGGTCAAGGTGGCTCAGCAGATCAAGGGTCACACATTGACGGTGAAAATCTTCCAGTTTTAACAGATGCTTGGCTGTCCAACAATTTGAAAAATCAAAAGAATAGACCTATAATAGCTGTTCCTTCATCTCAAGACCATTCAGAATTTTGGGTTGCTCGGATGTACCCTGCTAATAAATCAAGCTACTGGATGAAGAGAGATGATGTAAGACAATCAGCTGCTGAATTATCATTTGTTACTTGCTATAAAAAACCCAATCAGATTTATCATGAGCCAAATAAGATTGAAATGCTCATTTCATCTACAGCACCATCAGTACCTTTACCAGAAACAAGGAAACATTTTGAAGTTGAAGCTCCAGAAGACACATCATCATTTTCTTTTTCAAGCAAAAATACATCATTTGGTCATATTTCCACATTTCCTACAAAAACGTGTTACAGTGAGGCTGCCTCTTTACCCACATCTAATTGTCAACAGCCAAATTGCTTATCTGAAGCAAGATCCACCTGTGAATGGAAAGAAACATCCAGCTGTTTGAAACCAGTCCTAGAGTCTGTTTCTTCACCTTATTCAGAGATTTCCCAAGATCAAGATTTTAAAAACAACCTCTTAATATCTGTCCCAAATGATCCTATTTTGCAGAAAGAAGAAATTTATATAAATACTAATTTTGAAGAATGTCTTTTTAGAACAATTGAAAAGGGAGATGCCAATTCTGATTCAGATAGTAACACAAGAGACTCAAAAATAGTTGAGTTAGATAAAGTGGCCCTTCACTCCAGTGACCAGTTTGCAATATTAATGCAGACCTCTGAACTTGAAAAAGACAGTATGCAAGAAAGCAGGGATGTCCTGAGAGAATCTGCTTTAGAGGTTCCCTCATTTAGAGAAGTGGAAGAAGTACCTCAAGCTGAAGAATGGGATTCAGGAAATAAATTTGAATTTCAGACAAAAGGTTTAATGAATGGTTCCTCTTCAAGTTTAAAAGTTGATTATTCTGGAAAAAATGTGAGTCAGAAAGCTTTCCCAACTTTTAATGCTGGAGATAGGATGGAGAAGAGCAGTGAGGGGGACAAATGTAACCTGAATTCTGCTTCCAAGCCAGGAACACCTTTATCTGTGGATTTTGTGTTGGACAAATCAGTACGTTCCAATGTAGATGGAAGTGAGAAAAAAACTAACACTTCATCTGATCGTTCTTGTGAAACAAGTGAAAAATTCACTCCACAATTCAACTCAGATATGTGTTATGAAAATATACCTAGGATTAAGGATGTTTGTCATATAAGATCTTCTTTTATGGAAAATAATAGCAATCCTCCAGATCAGAAACACCCAGAGATAGCTAATTGTCTTGTATGTAACTCCATTTACTCTGGTTGCTGCACACCTACAATAAGAGAGCAAAAAGAAGCTCAAGATTTGCATTATTCATTTAATAAAAACGATTGCTTGGGAGCAGGACTGCATTCTGGACTATCCAGAAATAACACTGGAAATGACTCTAGAAGAACTTTGAGAGAAGATGGACTTTTATCAGTCACAGCTTCTCAAAACTTCTGCCTGTATATCAATAAAATGTCCAATAATCTAAAAGAATCTGTTGAGAGAAAAATACCTTGGAGATCAGAGGGAAACCAGGCTGAATGCAATAATACAACCATAAACTCTGAAGAACTCAATAAGCTAGTAATTAGTATCAATGAGCTGGAATGTGACATGTTAGAAATGAAACTTAGTCAAAATAAACATTTACATAGTTACTGTACACTTGAAGCATTAGACAGTAGACGAAACTCTGAAGTCTCTAATTTGATTCAGAGACCCAACAGTGATAATGAGAAATGTTGCCCAAACCAATCTGTAATTGGAGCAGTAGAAGATGAAGAGACGATCCAGCTCACTGATTCTAGTGAAGAAGATCGGTGTCCGTCAGAGCTAGCAATGAAGTGTGAGAGTAACATCCGCATACCCACTATTAATCATAATAGAGTCCAAGAAAACAGAAAACAAAATATTTTTCCTGAGGCTATAAAAGAAAGTTCTAAAAGCACAGAAGAGTTTTCTGACACATCTGACCAACTAGTTAAAAATGATAACGATACAGAAAATATCCATGGTTCTGAACCATTAGTGACTGCAGTAACCATGAAATATAGGCAAGATGCTAATTCAAGCTACAATAAAGAAGATAAAAATATATATCGTAACAATGAGATCTTTTCAAAAGAAATCTTAACAGAATATCCTAATGCTGTTCAGGAAGATAAAGTTGATAGGGAAATAAAGTATTCCGAAGGAGTAGATAAAGAACAAAGAGAGGCAAGAAAAAATGAGGAATGTGCAAATTCAAAATTAACTGGGTTACAACTTGCTGAAAGTACCACATTGCTGCAAGAAAATCAGAATCCATGTTTTACCGATTGTGGTAAGGGAACAAAATATGATCCTGCTGAAATACCAGAAATATACTTCACTGCTTCTAAATCGGAAGAACAAAATGATGAACTTGATTTACCAGATATGTGCATTAATAGTATTGAAATAGACGATGAGAAAGGATCAGCAAATCTTTGGACTCGTGTGAGTGAAATACCGAAAGACAATAATGATGGTGCTAATTTAGAGGATAATAAAGGTGTCACTGAATGGTGTGGAATTAAAAAAGCGCTCAGACAAGTTAGTGATGTTGAAAACATTAGTGCACCTCAATCTTCCACAGATTATTCTCAGAATTCTGTTTCAGAACACTGTGATAAGTTTGTTGGAAACAGTCTTGATGCTTATAAATCTATACCAAGGTGCTACCTTCTTAAGAAAAGTGAGCCAGTACATTTGATAAGTCCAGGACAAGTATGTATACCTGAGGTTCTGTCTCAAACCATCAAGGCACAAACCATGCATACTTTCAAAGCAGAAAAGGAAAGGGAGTGTTTTAAAGAAAATAATGGAAATCCAGAACAGGATATCTTCCAAGATCAAGTTTTACCAGCAAACATAAGCAGTCACTGCTGTTCAGATAGCGATGCATCTTTAAATGAAGTATCAAAACAAAAAGAATTGCTACCTCACATGTTTTCAAGGAATGATGCTGATACTGTTGATAACTTGATGCCAGCTAACCAAAGAGATGCACCAGAAAATATAAATCAAGATTATGATTTAACTTCAGTCACTGTTAAAGGATTTTCCCATGATCCCACACAAAGTCCTTTGTTACAAACAGAAATTACACATGGAGAAAATAGGAACAGTGCTACTGATACAACAAATGATCGTACACTGCCCTTGAGCAATAATGTCTGCAATGAAGTACTTCAGTATTATGATACACAAATAAAGAGTAATGGGAAAGCTGGAACAGTATCTTCGGTTGACAAAGATGAAATAGCTAAACCTGTAGATGATTTAATGTTAAATAAAACTTTAAATTATTCTGTGTCTGAGCAAAGTCCTAATAAGCAAGGCACATATTCCAAATTTATGGAATGCCATAAATCATTAGATTATGCTTCTGTTGACAACACACAAAACAATGTTTTCCCTCACGAAAGGTTGGATTCTTCTATAAATCACAATGTAGGCAACTTTCATGAAGAGTCTGAACAGTTGTTGAATTCATTCAATATACCTCATAAAGAAAGTGTTACATTGGGCTTAATAATTTCTGAAAAAAAATTCTTCACTTCAGTATTCAAAGATGAGTTAGAAGAAACAACATATTCTCTTCAAGATCGTTTTGAGAATAGTGTCAGCCAGAAAGAGGTGGACTCATTAGTGCAATATAACCAGGAAAATAAATGCCTTACTTCCAAGTGCATTGAAAATGAATGCAAAACCAATATTGAAAAATGTAATGGATTCAAGGGATGTCAAACAGAAACTACAGAAAATCTTGCATGCAGAATGTCTCATGATTTCTCTATAGAAAATAACACTGTAGCATCCTCTGAAGTTGGTGAAACCCTTTTAGGAAATTCTGACAAATTCATATGGGAAAATACTCATTGTATGAAAGACTATGGTTCTGGATGTAATATGAATTCTTACATGTCTGGCTACTCTGCTAGACACTTGAATACACTAGCTACAGGTGATCTTTATTTTAAGGAGAGTAGGTTTCTTAATTCTGAAATGTCTGATTGTCCTGTATCAAGTGCAGAGGATCATGCTCTATGTCAACAAGACAGCAAAATTGATGGGCATGGTGATTGCATTGAAAAAATCTATGAAAATAAAAAACAAGATCAAAATGATTTCCCTGAATGTGTCTGTGACCAAGAAAATGCCTCTTTACAATCTGACAATTACACAACTAGAACAGAAACAAAATTACCAGAAAAAAACTTGCTTACTTCTCAACATGTTAATGAAAGAAGCAGTCATGAAACAGCACCTCCTAAATGTTCTATGGAAGATTTTTCAGCCTGCATTTCATTTAAAAATGCCAGTCCCCCCAAGTCCCAAGAGTGTTCCTCATGCTGTACATGTAGTTCATCTACCAACTCACAGCACGATTCTTCTTTGGCTTCCAGTTTGTCAGCTACATTTCAACTCCAAAAAAATAACTCAATTGGTCACCAGGATTTTCCAGATAGTTGTTCCTCATCTTCAGAAGCATCTCTTAAAAGCAACACAAGTCTCAGTGAGACTCTGATACCTGCTGCTTTAAACCCTGGTCCCTTAAACTCTCCCTCACTTACTGCCAGCCAATGTGAAGATTCTGAAATCCTTAACCCGCCATTGTGTACTTCAGAAACAATTCTTTTTCTTGCAGAAAGAAATGAATGTCTCCCATTATCTAGCTGTCAAAGAAACTCAATTTTAGATTGCAGTGGAATACATAATTTTAAGTCTGAGAAAAAATGCCATGAAGTAACTGATTGTCAGGAACCTCCGAATATTATTTTACCACAAAAAGAATGCTTAAAAGATAGTGACAAAACTTTATACCACAATTTAAATACAAATCTTGGTTTACAAAGAGAGCAGAGTACACTATATTTAAATAGTGTGGATGCAATAAATATTTCTACTTCAGAAATAGGTGACTCTCATACAACTGCATGTAAGATGATGAAGGGTGAGAGAGGAATTTTGGTATCAGATGAACTAAACAATTCAAGAAAACATGACAGAATTCCTTCCAGATATTTCTCAATAAATGACAGTTTAACTTCGCAAGAAGAACCTGCATTGGCCATATATAAAAATAAAAATAACATTTCCACTTCACAGAATGCAAAGAGAATGAAAAAAGATCGACAGTGGCCAGATTTGCATAGTCATAGCTTATCAGCACCAGTGATTGCTACTTCCGTTGTTGAATGTGCTTCAGAAACTTCAGAAGTAGACTTGTCTGTGCATCCAGGTTCTAAGTCATTACAAGAATTAAATATGAGCATTGAGCCTCCCTCTCCAACTGAGGATAACATGTGCAGTACTAAAAGCTTATCAAAATTAAAGACAGAGAATGTCCCAATTAATTATAAACCCAGGTTTCAAGAGAAATCTCTTGAAGGCCAAGGAGACTATAAAGAACCATCGCAAGATATCCCTTCTTCAGATTCACCTCCAGTTCTTTGCCTAAAAGCTGTTGCTTACTCTACTGATAATCGTACAAATATAGAAGCAAACAAATACTCAAGTAGCATTACTCCACTGCACGGTTATATAAACAAAAATAAAGAACTGAGATATCAATTGGAGGCAACAAATGAACTAGATAAAGATAATAATGATTCAATGCATTTTAATTCAAGTGATATAAACCCTTACATACACCCATGGCAGCAAGATGAATGTTGCAAGATGGGTTGGAAACAATATGTATTTGGAAGTGCAAGTGATGTTTCCGGCAATCCTCCTCCACTGAACTTAGATAATCAAAGTGTTATAAGATGTTCCAGTGTGGATAATGGTTTGAACTCTCAAAATTCTCCATTCCATTCTCATCTCAGTTCATATGCTAATGCTAGAATGTTGTCCAGCACCCTTAGCAGTACAGAAGATCTCCAAAGGTGGGATGTTGCAAGAGAAAGTTTTGATTCTACGCATTCTGATGGAAATGACAAACATGATACAAATATTTCTCAGGCTGAACTTACAAACACACCAGAAAATTGCATTTCCGGTTGTGAAAACGTTCTTCCAGATATGAGATGCACTCAACAATCTGAAAATACTTCCACACCAGTTGATGAAATTGTTCTATTCTACCCCACTAAAACAAATTTATCATATAATAAACAGCAAGAAATACTTATTTGTGATCGGGAAACACAGACAGAAGCTCCAGCAAAGCATAAGAGACAGAAGAGGCATCGCAGAAGCTATACAGACCTCCCTTCAAGAAAACCTGAGCCAACCAAGAGTTCATTTCAAGAACCTTCTTCTTGGTCAAGTGTGCAGAACATTTCCATGCATCTTTCACAGCTTCTTCACAACACCTCTGAGCTGCTTGGAAATTTGTCCTTTCAAAAAATAAAGGATGATGAACCAAATTACCATAAAGCAGTTGAACAGAGAACAAGCTTTGGCATGTTTGATCGCCATACTCAAACAACCGAAGACATAGGCATTCAAACCGATATTTTAGGACATCCTCGAAATACAATTGAGGACAGACAAATTAATGCTAATATGAAAACTGAGCTAGTGAAATCTCAGGAAGTAAATGTTATTGTGAAACTAGTACATCCAGATACTATAACTCTACCTAAGGAAAGAGCATCAAAAACCAAAGGAAGGAAATTGCTGAGTATGCCTGACATAAGAAGTCATGATGTTGATACTCAAGGACATTATTATATGCCTCAATCTACTTTAGGTATACATTCCAGTTCTTCCTCAGAAGTGCCTAAAACACCATTAACTATTTCATCAATACCTGCTTTCAATAGTCCCAAAGTATATCCAACGTCACCCTCGTTATATAAGTCTAGACTTAAGTCTTCAGCTACTGCTGTTAGTAATCCTGCTTCTTGTAGCTATCTGTCTCCCAACTTTCAAGATAAGAATCCTGTTGATAAAACTAGCATTTCAGAAACAAGGCAACTGTATTGTAAAAACAACTTGCTAGTTGACAGAGCTTCTTCTCCAATTTTGACACTAAGTGCAAGTCCAATCAACCAGCAACCTACATCAGAGATTTCAACTAGTTCTTCCAAAGCAGCAGCTGGGAAACTGGTGAAAAGTACTGAAAATTCAGTAACTGATTTTAAGAAAAAGGATTCAGATCTACAGTATAACAGATGTTCTTGGGAATCATGTCTTGATACTTGTTCACATGCTGAGATAGACAGTGAATCTCCCACACCTAGAGAGAGCAAGGATATTTATAAAAGATCTGGAAATGGCTTGGATAAAAGCATGACCAAAGTGTTTTCCAAAAAAGGTACTTCAAAACAAAAGCAAAGATTGACCATTGACACACATACTGCAGTTCACACTGAAAGACTTTATCACTCAAGCAGTACTTTAGAACTTTCTAGTCATGGGGAATATATAATTGATGATCATGGAGAAACCCTTCCCACAGAACATTCATTTCATCAGACACGAGCCATGAGAAGGGCAAGAAACTTCTCGGGAGGAATTAAAAGTGGAAACTCCATTAGAAGTTCAGAATGTTTGCCTTCTAAGAGGTCTTTGCCAAAATCTTTAAATGAACCTCATACCTCTTCATGTGTAAAATCAGAAGAAACTCATGAATGTGTTCCTGATTCTTCTCAACCATGCCCCCAGATCTGGAGAAATGAGAAGAGTAGTTCTTTTCTCAGGTCAGAAATGAGTGACATGCAAGACAATGATAATGATGTGGATGAAGAGGATGATGATGACGACGATGATACAAAAACAGGATCTGATATTGATAGCGTATGCCATACTGAAATCTTGCTAAATGGGAACACTTCATTAGTAAAAGGCCACAGAAATCGAAGTTACAGTCTTCGTGACCTGCCCATGCACAATAAATTCAGCAATTGGTGTGGTGTGAAGGGAGCTCCTCATTCTTCCTTGACTAGCCTGACACTGAGTGCTAGTGATATCCACAGCCAGACAGAAGGGAAATTGGTTAACAGAAGAACCACTGAAATAGAAGAGAGATCTCTACTTAGCGAAAGGAGAGCCAGAGAGATTGAAAGACTAAGAAGAGAGCGTGCCCAGGTTATGTCTGGAATACATTTAGATATGAGTCAGCAACCTCTTACTGTGGAACTCACAGAAGCAAAGCTAACCTATGGGATTGGTGAAACTGACGCACAACTCAGGATTCTTCAGAATGTAGTAGGTGAGGAATTGACAGCAGTGCCCATAAAACAGCAGCTTTACGAAAGGTAATTATTTTCTCAACATTACAGATTGGCTAAATACAGCATGAGTTTAATATACAGGTAGTCCCCGACTTACGAGCACAATTTTGCTAAAAAATTCTGTTGCTAAGCAAAACAGTTGTAAAAGTGATTTGTGCCCCATTTTATGACCTTTCTTGACATGGTTGTTAATCACTACAATTGTTAAATTAGTAATACAGTCATTAAGTGAATCTGGCTTCCCTATTGACTTTGCTTGTCAGAAAGTTGCAAAAGGTGAACACATGCTCTTGGAAACACTGCAGTTGTCATAAGTACGAGTCAGTTGCCAAATGTTTGGGATTTTAATCATGTGACCATGGGGATGCTGCAATGGTTGTAAGTGTGAAAAGCCATCGTAAGTCACTTTTTTCAGTGCTGTTTTAAATTTGAACAGTCACTAAACAAATGGTTGTAAGTCGAGGACTACCTGTACCATCAACAGAAGAAAAATAGAATATTGCAGAACAGAAGTAGATATTTTGAAATTTGAGCAACTGCTGTTAATCATATCTTCTAAAGAGCTTTGCCTCTTGGTAATGTGTAATGAATTTTTCTCAGAACCATAAATCAGAAGGAGTACTGACAGCTATTATTAAAAGGCATAAGCTTCCATGAACTTAATACATTTATATTACTAATTTGTTACTAACAACCAATGATAGGGAAGAGAGAAGAGAGAAAGGAAGGAGAGGGGGAAAACCTGATATAATATTATCAGAACATGTTCAAATATTACTCAGCATTAGCAGAATAATCTCTAACCTAGTAGTTACAGTAAAACAATGGCAGGGGATTGTGAGTTAATATCTGGCAAATTAGGGATTATATATTCTAGTAACACTGGAAGTATTATATAACTATAAAACACTTTAGCAAAGGGGTTGCAGCCCAAGGTATCCTAATCTGGAAATAATGTGTATTAAAAATAGCGAGTTTATTTCAGACTTAGGTTCAACCTGCATATTAGACAAGGTTATATTCCTTCCATCTGCTATGTTATCTTCCCCCTTCTATCGATCTTGTAGAATTTTTAATGTTTTTTAAAAATACAACTTATTTTATTTTTAAGTACCCTTTCCCCCTCATTTCCATAATAGGCACAAGAAATCAATTGAAATTTTAAGGAAACAGAGAGAAGAGAGACTTCAGTGCTTCAGAAGGAGTCGCAGTCTTAGTCCACAAAAGCATCTGAATTTTTTGCAAACCCTGGACAATAACCAGAGAGAAATAGATCTGCCCAGTCGACGCCGTGAATACCTCCAGCAATTGAGACGAGACGTTGTAGAAAATACAAGGTAGGGTGACCCAGGTCCATTTAGAAGGATCTAGGACAGCTCACCACAGCCAGGTTGGTGTGGACGGATGGGTACAGAAGCATGGGTGTGACAGGGTGGGCGCAGTTGGGTGAGCATGGCCAGATCAGTGTGACAAGTGGACGCGACTGGGTCAATGACTTGGCAAGGATGACTCAGCGTAGCCCAGATGGCGCGGACAGGTGGGCATAGATTGGCACGGATGGGTTGGCACAGTTAATTGAGCACAGTCGGGTTGGCACAGAACAAGTTACCCTGGCCAACTAGACATGGGGACAGTTTGGTGCCCCATTAGAAAAAACATAAGACCTTAATGTGCTGGCTGACAGGAATGCAGGGACAGGGACAGTTCGTGGTGAGGGGAATCATTGTTGTGGGGCACACTTCCCCTCCCACCAGAAGAAACATTGTCCCAGTCTGGGCCCAAGGCATGGTGAAGCTGCAGCGCTCATAATTAGGACTGGGCTCCATGGCAGGTGCCTTTCTCCTTCCCAGGATGGGAAGTGCAGTCTGGTGAGCATTTAGACTGCATGCCAGGACAAGCCTCTGTCCACATTCAGATTGTAGCCCTGCCACTGCTGTTCTAGGAATGACTGCTCAGGATGTCAGCCATGCAAAGGCTGGTCCTCTGCCTGCAGCTTCCCAGCCATCAGTGAAGCGGTCTTCATCCTGCAGTGATGATTATCAATTTAGGCTGATAATAGTTCCTGTTTTAATTCTTTCCTAAGTCCAGAATTAATTCTCATTCTAACATTTACTATTCTTAAGAAACAGAATTATTCTTTATTTTTAAAAGCATTCATACAGGGTCCTAAAAGCTTACACTGTGACTTACAAATCAATACAAAGAATACTATAATGACATTTTTAAGGGTTCATGAACCAAAAATCAGGATCCAGCATCCTTCAGAGATTGAACAACTGCTTCGAGAATATCAGAAAGCACAAGAAGAAACTAAAACTGAAATTGCACGAGCGAGGGACAAGCTCCAGGAAAGAGCTGAGCAAGAAAAGAAGCGCATTAGAGAACAAATATATTATCAACTGCAGAAGGCAAGTGTTAAAATTATTTCAGCTAGTTTTCACAGTTTGTGTTAATTAAAGGCTGCATCTTATGATCTGGGCATGCCTGAAGGTATGTAATCTACCAACTTTTTTTGTGCATTATGTGATAGAATCCTTTGTAGCTGAATGCATGAAATATAATTGTTTGCAAGACACTTTAAAGATAGTCAGTCACATCTGTCTTAATTTTTCTTCTAAGTTTGAGGTAGCTCCGTTACTAGAGAAAATTGAATGAAGAGGAAAGAATGCACCAATTTTAACCCAAATGGGGTAATGTAAATCCTTAATTTTTTTGGAAGATTTCAATTACTTAATATTTACATCCAGGTATGATTCTTAGGCCACTCATTTTAGAAGACAATACCATTTAGAAGACATCATCATTCACCTTTTTTGTTTGATCTTCTGAACAAAAACTGCAAGCACAACAAATGAAGCAGTGAATATTGAAATGAAATAGATGTAAAATAAATGACTATCTGAAATAGAACGAACAAGCTTTAAACTAGCCTGTTTTACAGCATTTCTTAATATTGATGTATTTATTATAGGAAGAAACTAAGCTGAAGACTCTTGTAAGCACAAGCACTTTACACACAGATTCCACCCTTAGTTTGTCTTCAGGACCAACTTCTGGATACAACAGTAGTAACACAGCTACTTATTCTGCTAGTATTCTTAGCAAACAAGGAGCCCAGGTAATAATAATTTCTGTTCTACAAATTAATTAAAATAAAGGGCTTCGTGGAATAAGATATATTATTTAATGTCATAGGTTTGATTTAGCCTGGTCATAAGTTGAGTGGGATAACAAATACTGTGTATTGAGCAGGTAATTGACAGTATGGTGATAAACCATTAATATAATTCTCAATGATGATTTCTATGAGGTCTAAGCATATGTTGTCTTCTATTACTTTCAACCAATGGAGATCTCCATGATTCTAAATTCATACTGAAATCCATCAAAAGCCAACATCAGAGCAAAGTCTGTTGCTCACAATCAGTTATGATTGGGGTATAAACAAAACAAAATTAATAAATTATCACGTATTACTTTCTTCCCCCCCCCAAATATATTAGCTTTGTGCTGAAGATGTGGAACATTCAGGAGAAGATGCAAGAGGACGCTCAGCTATTAGAAATCATCAGCTTTGCATACTCAAACAAGTGCAAAAGGGATCTGCTAGTGGTAAGGGCTGGATAAATCATTTGATGATGAGTTCTGTATCAAATATGTGCAGGATGTTTCATGTATTAAAAAAACCCAGAATAAAATATGTATGACTTATGCTGGCCATTTCATCAACCTAAAAAGTGTAATGTTAAATGCTACTTTATACTAAAAGAGAATATATGTTGGTCTAGATCAGGGGTCACCAACCTTTTGGACCTCAGGGACCACCAAATTCATAATTTTAAATCTCTGCGGACCACTAATATGATTTTTTTAAAATGATAAATAATAATAATAATAATTTTATTTCTATACCACCCTTCTCCCGAAGGACTCAGGGCGGTGTACAGCCTATTAAAAGCACAAAGACAGACATCAATTTAAAAATAATTAAAATTATTAAATAATTACGGCTCAGATATAAAACCCCAAATTTAAAACCCCCAATTTAAAATCATTACAATGATAGCCCGGCCTGGCGGAACAGCAGGGTCTTGAGGGCACAACGGAATACACGGAGGTTGGAGATCTTATGCATTTCCGGGGGCAGTTCATTCCACAGGGAAGGGGCTTCCACAGAGAAGGCCCTCCCCCGGGTGTCGCGAGCCGACATAACTTGGCCGATGGCACCCTGAGGAGACCCTCTCTGTGGGAGTGGACTGGCCGGTGGGAGGCTGTTGGTGGCAGAAGTTGGTCTCGAAGGTACCCGGGTCCTGTGCCATGGAGCCTTTAAAGGTGGTAACCAGCACCTTGAATCGCACCCGGAAGACCACTGGGAGCCAGTGCAGCTTGCGCAGGAGGAGTGTCACATGGGCACAACGAGTTGCGCCCATAACCACCCACGCGGCCGCATTCTGGACCATTTGGAGCCTCTGAGTGCTCTCCAAGGGGAGCCCCATGTTTATATTGCACTAAATAGTATTTAATGCAATATAAAAAATGCAAATAATTTTTCTGCGGACCACCAAAATTTTCTCGTGGACCACCAGTGGTGACCGCTGGTCTAGATTGAACTTTGGAATCCTTGATGCCCTCTGAGCTTGGTTGTTTGCTTCCAGACATTTCATTGCCTAACTACGTAACATCATAGTGCTAGTGAGCGTGGAGCAGCTCCTCTCCCTCTCCTATTCACTACACTGATGATGTTATCTAATCAAATAATGAAATATCTGCAAGTAAACAACTAAGCTCAGAGAACATCAAGGACTCCACGGTACACTAAAAGAACAGGGTTGTTTCAAATGTTCTTAGGAAGTCTCCCATTTCCCCCCCCCCCCAGAGCACATTAAACACCTCTTCTGTATCATTTGCCTGGGAAGATTGCATCCTGCCCAGACTTCTCTGGGCAGAAATAATAATTCATAACTGTACCAATCCATTAGCTTTGCCCTCTGTGCTGATAGTGAACAAAATGGGAGGTCTGGATAGAATATATTTTCAAATGAACTAATTCCTTCTCATAATTGGTCTGTGCATATTTGAATATATATTTTCTGCAGCCTTGAGAATTTCAACCCAATAAGTTCATCTTGATTTAATTTTAAAATTGATTTTTAAAAGCTCTAGTTAACCAGTTTTATTAAGAAGGAAGTGGCCAGTTTCTGAAATAGTGGCAACAGCAACTGTTGGCTTTAAATGCTTATTGTAATGAGTGTGGATCACAAATGAAATAAAGATCTTTGTGAGTGGAAGACTTTCTGTTCTTCTTCACTAACCTGATCTGAAGAATTTGGATTATGAATATTCAGGGTGTGTTATTTTCAAACTGTTTTAGAAAATCACCTGTTATGGGAAGCAGAATGTTGTGATCCACTAAAGTGTTCTGATTTTAATCATTTGCTCCATTTTGTATGTCCCGTAAATAGATGGCTCAAATCAGATCTGTGGTATAGGCTCCTTATTTATCTCATCTGTTACAGAGACTTTTCCTATGACTTCTTCAACCGTGGAGAAGAGCAGCCATAGGTACCCTCATAGCCTAATTATTTCACCTAGCACCTTTTCAGCTTCTTCAGTGAAAGGATATGAAGATTTGTCCAAACATGTCTTGGCTACTGCTACTGCTGAGGTGAGCATGTTATCTCAGCATGTTGAACACAAATGGCTATCACAAATGTAGCAAGAATGGTCTGGTTATCTGCTTATTGGGATGGGGAAGATAGGCTATTCCAAAGGAAGGAGATCATCACCCAGAAAGTTAAATCCTGGGGTTTCTGAAGATGGATTTTCCTTGGTGGTAGGACATTCAATAAAATAGACTGGCAGTCTCAACTTGAAGAAGATAGTCATGGAAAAATCTAAGTTTTGAGCCATGCATTGGGAGCTATCTGGCAGCCAGTTCAACTCTCATAGCATCGTTTCATGGGTAACCTCTTTGTGCCTGTAACTGAAGCTTCTGGGAGGTCTTCAAGAGCAATCTCGTGTAGACTGATGTGCAGTAATCCAGGCACAAAATGACAGGGCTGAAAGGGCTCCTGCACAAAATGTAATTATGCAAAAACCTCCTTGATCACAGCCCCCACATGCCATTCAAGCATGGATATTTCTAGATGCATTCACTTATAAATGCATATCCATTCAGTCCAGATAGGATTCAACCTAAACTCAGGCGGGCGGGGGTGGGTGGGCGTTCCCAGCCAGATCTAAAAAACCTCCAGGCACTAGGTGAGGACATGGATTACATTTTCTTCCTGGCTCAGGATAGAGATACATAGATAGTCTTCAACCTATAATCACAGTTGAGACAAGAATTTGTCTCAACTGAGCCTGGATAGCTCAGCAGACTAAGCACTGTAATTTAACACTAGCAGTCTGCAATTAAAGTAAGATTGAATCTCACCAGGCTCAAAGTTGACTCAGCCTTCCATCCTTTCTAAGGTAGGTAAATTGAGGACCCAGTTTGTGGGGGCAATAAGCTGACTTTGTATTAAAAAAATATACAAAAGTATGAAAGCTATTGCTTAACGCACTGTAAGCCGCCCTGAGTCTCCGGAGAAGGGCAGCATATAAATCAAAAAAAATTTTTTTAAAAATTTTTTTGGTCATAAGTGGGGGCTCCCAAGTGACAGAACCTGATTTTACAGCTATTTTTACAGTGGTTGTTAAGTGAATTAGGAAGTCAAAAATCTATTCACCCAAGTGGGCATCTTTTTAACAGAAACCTGCTAAAAAGGCCACAAATTGTAGTCACATGACTGCGGAATACTGTAACCAGCGAGTAAATGTGAGCTAGTTACCAAGAACCTGTCTGAGTGGTAGGGGGTGACCTAAGATTTTACAATTACTGGAAATGCTTTATGGGCTGTAAAACACAGTTTTCAAGGCTGTCATAATTTTCAACGATCTTTAAATGGGTGGCCATAAGTCAAGGAATACCTGTATAGTTAATATTATCAGCATATTAATGAAACCTATTCCATGCTGGGTAGATTCACGTAGATGATAAACACTGAGGAAGAGGGGCTGAGCCCTGTGGCATTCCATAAAAGGTTGTCCAAGGCTTGACCTTTCCCCATTACCATCTGCCTATCAAGGAGGAGAACTACCAAAGAACAGTAGCCTAACTCTCATAATAATTACAGAGAGATTATATGGTCACTGCAACCTCATAAGAAATCCAACATAACTTATATAATAAAAAAATCTATGTAAGTAAAACAGCACAAATAGCCCTAAAAAAGAATATATATTGAACTGGGATCCTTGGTGCTCTTTGAGCTTGGTTGTTTGCTTGAAGATATTTCATTACCTAACTGCAGGGGTGAAATGTTCCCGGTTCGGACCGGATCACCCGATCCGGTAGCGATGGAGGCGGGTGGTTCGGAGAACTGGTAGCAAAAATCCCTGCCCCCCCCCCATTGCCCAGCTGAGCCGCGCAATCATCAGAGGCTTTTTTTTAATTTTTAAAAGCATTTTTTCTACAACCTCTTTAGCCGAAAAAATGCTTTTAAAAGTGAAAAAAAAAGCCTCTGATGATCACACGGCTCAGCTGGGATCATCAGAGGCTTTAAAAAAAAAGCCTCTGCCGATCAGGCAAATCAGCTGGGATCGTCAGAGGCTTTAAAAGCATTTTTTTTACAATCTCTTCAGCCGAAGAGGTTGTAGAAAAAATGGTTTTAAAAGTAAAAAAAAAAAAAGGTGGCCACGCCTACTCAGTCATATTACCTACCACCACCAAGCCACGCCCACAGAACCGGTAGTAACAAATTTTACATTTCACCACTGCCTAACTGGGTAATATTACCGATGCTGGTGAGTATGAAATTTACTCTCTATTTAGTAGCTCTCCTCTCAGATGAGACAAGTGACTCTCTTGTCAGGACTGTGCATGCCTAAACTTGTTCCTAAATGTGCTTTTTAAAAACCATGAATCAAAGAATATCTCAAAACAGAATATAAACTGTTTTGGAACTCTTCTGTTTTGTTATTACCACACCAAGATGTAACACTATACTATTTGCAAGATGCACACAACACTAAATAAATAAATTAATTTTAAAAAGAACCCTATTACAGATGAACCCTTCCAGTTACAAGGAAGAGCCTGTTAATAGTTCCCAGGGCCCCTTTCATATAGCAACAATTTTTCCTATTCTTTTACTCTACAGAAGGAAAGCAGAAGATTGTTTCAGTTTTTTTTTCCTCTCTAGCACAACTGCAAGGCATGTTGGACTCTTCCCTTGGGAAAATAAATATAGCAGTATAAGGCGAAGTCCTTAATTATGTATTAGGTGACCAGATTAGCATTTAAAGGTCATAGGAGAGAAGGAGAAAGGAAATCAAGATTCCAGTCAGCAGCAATAACCACAGGGACACATGTGGCTGGAATACAATTGTAGCAAAGATGCAAAGAACAGCTCAGATTAATCCATAATATATTTTAACAAAAAATTCCAATTTGCACCTAGCTCCGTGTTTTCTCTAGACTATTACATTTATTCTGTATCACCAATTCTTGTTTCAGGATTTGGGTGCATAGACTTTCGCTGGCAAAAGCTAGGCACCTGGTGCCTTCTCTAACAATCAGCTTGCTTTGGTCTTGTCAATTAAGCATCGTCTAGTGCAGCAGTGATGGTAAATCTATGATACATGTGTCAAAGGTGACACACCATGACATTTTGGGTGACACACCAACGTTCAGCAACACCCAACAAGTATTCTCAAAAACAAGTGCCATTCTTGTAGGATTTTAGGAGGGTGTGGAGGCCAAGTGAGAATGGGGTGTGTTTTCATGCAGCCTGCAAACTTTCTGGAAGTCGTGAGGAGCTGTGAGAACAGGGAGTGTGTTTCATGTGGTTTGGGAGACTGCAATCTATAGAAGAGCATTCTCCATGAAGCCTTCAAGATTGAATGTCTTGTGCAGCCATGAGCAACTTTGCATAGGCAGCAGGGTCAACAGAAAGAGAAGTTGAGTGGTGCTTGGCAGATGCTGGAGAGTGCTGTGTCATGGAGGCAATCACATCATTTCCCAAGACCTTGGGGAACAGCGTGAGTGATGGCGCTAGGGCTGAAGATGAGGCTTGGGCCTTGGTGCTGCTGCTATTCCATGTGACCTTGATGATGGAGAGATAGAAAATTGTTTCTTTTTTGCTTGGGAAAAGGGTGATACACCAACAGAGTCAAGTTAGGCCTTTTCCAAATTTTGATAACACTAAGCCCGAAAGATTTGCCATCACTGGTCTAGCGGGATCCAGGAAGTGAACTTTCTCTGTTGAAATACCTTCTCTCAGGAGCAGCATCTTCATTTAGCTCTGACATTACTTGTTTTCAGGCAAGCACTAAAAACTTTGGTTTAGGGTGTCTGGTGATACGGGACATTGTTTTTTGCATTTGTTCCCATGTGTTTGTACGTGTGATTTGTGAAGTTGCCCAGAGTCATTTTTGGGCAACCTAGAAATTGGATGCCTGGATGGTTAAATACTTTTCTCTCAGGAAGGATGATAAAAACAGGCAAAATGAAGCTGTCCCTTCCTTCTTAAAAGACTCACCTGAGAGGGTGAAAATCTTCCCACTCTTGATTTGTTGCTTAGAGTTTAACATTCCAGATTTTTAATAGACTTGGCCTGCTATCCTATTTTGTGCAAGTTTAGGATCTATAATCTAGAGATTTCTTTGCAAGCCAAAGTACTATTGCCCACATCCCACCAACTGGGAGATACATCCACATCAAGGATGTAAGTAATACGTTCATATATTTAGCTAATCTTTGGTTATACTGTCACTAATTGAAATAAAGAAAATTAAACCTAGTTCCAGTAGATTTCTGGATACTTGCATGGACCTCAGAAGTGAACATAATAAGCTGTCACTAAATTTAAATAAAGCTGAATTTTATATAAAAGGGCTGCAACTTCTGAACTGTAACATTGCATTTTACTTGCTTTAAAGGTTATGGCAGTATGTTCAAATGACTTGAAAAACCTTTACAGTGGGCAGGCAACCGCTGGCTGGAAGTAAGTTTTGGCCATAGATCCCTTCTATTTATACCAAGAGAGTACCTTTTATGGTATTTTTGCAGAAAACCTGCTTTCATCTTGCATTTATTTCTCCATTAGATATCAATGCACAGAGAAGAACGTGTTTGTTTATTATAAAGCCTTCTCATCATCTACAACTAAGCATGGGTTTTTGGGAGCAGGAGTGATCGACCAACCTCTTTCCACGGTATTGTGTATGTTGAAGGATGCCAGTAAGCGACATTTATATGACAAAACCATTACCACAGCTCAGGTACATAAGAAAATAACCAGCAATATTGAGTTGGGTGAGTACTTTTTAACGCTACAGTACTTGCTATTGTTGAAGGGAGCTCATAGTTCTACTTTGTCTGAATTGTTTCATAGCACTGCATAATCCTTCATGGGAATAATGAAGGGATTTAGCTAAAAACGAGGAAATTTTATCCCCTTCCTTTTCTGCTTTGAAAGTATACAGAATCTCCACAGCTGATTTTAATGTACAAAGCTTGTAGCACCACTTTCCTCTCATCCCCTCTGCTATGGCCATATAACTGGAAGTGATGCATGATTTCTGGTGCTTCATAAATTACTCTTGGGATAACCAAGTCAGAGATCCTGAGATCCACTTGCTTCTTTCTGCTGCAGATGTGACTCCTCTGCTCTGGCGCTTCCCTTGTGTTGTTGGACCAACCAAATTCTGGGTAGGTGCTTTCCAAAGCACAAGATAGCAATAGCATTTAGACTTATATACCGCTCCATAGTGCTTTAAAGCAGGGGTCTCCAACCTTAGCAACTTTAAGACTCGTGGACTTCAACTTCCCAAAATTCCTCAGCCAGCAAAGCTGGGAATTGAAGTCCACAAGTCTTAAAGTTGCCAAGGTTGGAGACCCCTGCTTTAAAGTATTCTCTGAGTGGTTTACAAATTTCAGCATATTGCCTCAACAATCTGGGTCCTCATTTTATTGATCTTGGAACGATGGAAGGCTCAGGATCGAACTCCAAACTGCAGGCAGAGTTAACCTTATTCTGCATTATACTGCATTGGCTCCACGGCTCCTTGATGGAACTGACCAAAGTTGCTTGTTAACACATGTTCACTGTTCTCATGAGGGAGTGGTAGAAAATAATTATACTTTTTTTTTTTTTTTGCAAGAAAAGAATCTTTTAAAAACATATTTGCACTGGTGTCTGTCATCTGGGAAGATACTTCAGGGCATTTATTTTGTTTTATTATTCCACTGTGGTGATTACATTGTTAGCGGAGTTATAATAGCTTCTGTTGCAGAGGAAGTCTCTAAATAAAGTTGGTGCCAAGAATTCAGAGCTTTTGATATCAGCTTAGGTTCTGCCTCTTCCCCCTTTGGTTAAATAGATATTGTTCTACTTTCTGGTCTTAACCTGATTTTTAAGCTATTTATGATTTTATGGGTATTATTTTTAGAGCTTTGCACTGAATTTTTAAGAGTGTGTTTAATTAATTATAGATACCTCTAATTATACCCTGGTTTGAAGTGTATTAATACAGTTTAACAGAATCAAAGATAGTAAAATGTTGTACTGTTGTCTTCTAGATGCATTATGAGGACAAAAAAGCTAGAAGAAGGGGATGGAGGCTAAAAATATTGGATGTGGACTTATTAAGTTCAGTCCTCTGTTGGTGTGTTGTTTTCCTCATTTGACTAAATAGCTAAATTTGTTTCTTTTGATTTAATTACAGTATATGTGGTGAGTGAGGATTCCTTTTGTTACCAAAAGCAGCCAAGAGATTTCTGCTGCATCTGTGTAGAAGCCAAAGAGGTACATAGATCGCTGCTTGCAAATGTGTTTCAGTCACCATTTCCTGTATCTAGAAGTAATCCAATTAATTTTAACAAGGCCAGCTGAACAGTTACTGCACCTATGAGGTTTAAATAGTTGGACCTAAATTCATTCATTTACTTTCAGTTACTGAAATTTTTAAAAATAATCCCACAAACATTTTTCCATGAATTATATATATTTAATAATAATAATAATAATAATAATAATAATAATAATAATAATAATAATGTTTATATACCATCTGATTCACTGTAATGGTATATTGGAGTGACCTTAGGAGGCAGGAGGAAACTGTCTCTCTCAGTGGTCTGATAAATGAAATGGGGGGAGAGGGGATACCTCAGAAGTAAAGTAAGGGAGAAGAGAGGTACTTTTGGACTTGCAAAATTCTATTATTGTAACCTTATTAAAATGTACTGTTAGCACTCATGGCTGGTGCTTTTTGCTGGGACTACCTCAAAGGGTTAACTCTACCAGAGACCCTGGGTGGTTCATAAATTAAAACCAATAGAAAAATAATGATAAATACAGAGGAACCAAATGATGGCAAAACCAGGTCACAGTGAGAAACCCAGGCACATTTCTCAGAAGGGACTTCAGACACCCTTGGAAAAGGGCCTAGACAGACAACCAGATCCTCAATGCTTTTTAAAGGTCCGGTAGGGTCAGGAGTCACCCAGATCCTAGGAGAAGCCTCACTACAGAAACCAGGCACTTCAATAAAGCAGGCCTATTTCCTCAGGTCCTGATAGATGGCATTATGTAATGAAAAAAACCCAGAGTGTGCCAGTGCTACCAGATCGAATCAGCCAGGCAGGTACTGTGGGAGATAGGCAGCCTCTCCAAATAACTAAGACTTAATGCAGGTAGTTCTCGATTTATAACCACAATAGTGACCAGAATTTCCATTGCTAAACAATGGGGACATAAAGCATGGTATCTCCTGACTGCATCACTTAATGACAGCAATCCCAGCATTCCTCATTGCTGTTGTTAACCAAATTCCACCGGTCGTTAGCCAAGGACCCATCCTAAATCATTCTGAACCTCAGTACTTCCAAGGTAAGGGACTGCCTTCCCTATATTTCCCCACCTTGTCTCTGCCTTTTTTGCCTGCCTTGCATCCTGCTTTGTAGGGTGACAAGCAGCCAGCCCAGCCCAGCCCAGTTCCAGTTGCTCTCATCACCTTGTACTCCCAGGCTCCGGCTTGCCCTATGCTCCATTACCCCAGCTAAGCTTCACGGACTTCTTGCTTGAGAAGAGAGCCTTCTGTAGCCAGCAGCGAGCAAGAAGAGGGCAACATTCAGCTAGGGTGATAAGGGCTATGAAGTGCAGAGGAATAAAAGGGCATAGATGGAGGGAGAGATAGGTGAGGGGTGGAATAGGTGAAGTCATCCTATGACTATAAGTACAAGCAGGTTGCCCAAATTTTTATGTTGTTATTGGGTGCTACAGTGGACATAATGTTGGAGACCAGTTGTAAGTACCTCCATTCACCATTCATAACTTTATTATGTATCACCAATCCAATAGCCAGTCAAGGTTACCTGTACTACTATGATATCAGAAAAGTCTAACAGTCGGTCCTTACGTTGAAAATAATTTGAAAAAGCTGGAAAGCCAATCTATGGGAGGAGAATGCCAAAACTGCTGGAGGATTTTTATCATGTAATTCTCCTTCCTTTCACCTAGGAAAATATGTACATCTTAGCTCTTCAGTCTATCTATGAAGAGTCAATGCCTCGCCCATGTAAAGAAATGGTACGAGGAGAGATTTTGCCCAGTGCATGGATATTACAACCTGATACCATGAATGGAAAAGACATCACTAAAGTCATATATATGGTACAGGTAGGTATCTGCAGAGCTGGACAAAAAGTTATTGTAAAATATATTATATATGGAAGATTGCTTTCTACAACATAGTGACAAAGCAAATAAAAATGTATCTGACAGCAATAAATTGTGCAAGGAAGTATGACAAGATTTTAAGATTTTTGCTTAGTGACCCTTATAGCAAAGGTATTACTTATACTGACCTGCAGAGTTTTTCACTATTGCATTGTTCTTTATACTTTGCTATAAAACTTACTGGCAACAAGCAAAGTAGTGAACTTTAGGCAGCATGATATTGGTAGGATGCCAGGCTTCTGAAGCTTCTATTCACAAGAGCACAGGTAGATCTTCCCAAGGAAAACCAAAATGAGATGGCATTATTCAAAAACAACTGGTATCCTTGCTCTGACTGTAGATATCCATGGTGGCATAAATTCACCCATTTAGTGGCATAAATCCAACCCATTTTATTGCCATTTTTGCAGGGCAGATTATCTGGCCTATTTTATGTCCAGATTTTTAATACAATACATATGGGTGTAAACCTAGTAATGTTTTTACACTGCTTTGTATGAGTGCCCCTGGTTCCTTGCTTATTTTTTTTTAATAGCCAAAATGCCCATTTGCTGCAAAATGAAGCTAGCCTCAAAAGCTGCTGCTTTTTTCGCTACAGAGAGTCCTCAATTTATAACAATTGGGACTGACATGTGTATTGCTAAATGATGTGGTTATGCCTGATTTTATGACCCTTTTTTGCTGTGATCAATTGATGAATCACAAGTCATAAAGAGAACCACATGGTCACTAAAGGAATCCAGCTTCCACCAAATTTTGCTTCTTAGAAACCCAAGGTTGCAAATGACAGTGTGGCTCCCAGACGCTACAAGTGTCATAACTACATACCAGGTGCCAAATGCTTCGAATTTTGATCATGTGACCACAGAAACACTGCAATGGTCATAAATGTGACGAATGGTCACAAATAACTTTTTTCAGTGCCATCGTATCTTCAAATAGTTGTTAAAAGAATGGTTGTAATTGAAGGACTGTATCTATTTACATTAAGGGGAGGCTGGGAATATGTTTCTTATCTAATATTAATTCTGTGTGCATTGCAAACACAACATTACAACAACAAACCTCATCCGAGAGATTCTAAGATGCGCAAATGTCTGTCATGACAGCTTTAAATGTCTTCAGAACTTAATTCCTAATTAAGTGTTGTACCTTATGATTCTTGACAAATATATCTTTTCTTTTATGTACACCGAGAGTGTATGCACCAAGACAAATTCCTTGTGTGTCCAATCACACTTGGCCAATAAGGAATTCTGTCCTGTCCTGTCCTGTCCTATCCTATTCTAAAAAAGATGCTAAGATGTGCAAAGGATTGTAATCAACCAGTTCCTTATCAACTGGAGAAAAGCTTGATATTGTTGCTCTTTGAAACCCACATTCACAGGGGTAGAAAAGACTTCTGCAGTACATTCCATACATGTAGGCGTTCTCTTATATGTACTGCATGAATGTTATGGATGCAATCTTTGTAGAATTATTCTTGGGTAGTTAAGGTAGTTCTTGATTATGATCATTCATTCATGAACTGTTTGAAATTATGAAGGCGCTAAAAAATGTTACTTGCAACTAGTTCCCCAAAGTTATAGATATCACAGTGCCTCCTGTGGTCATATCATCAAAGTTTGGGCGCTTGGCAGCTCGCTCACACCTATATTAGACCGCCTTCTGCCACCAATAGCCTCCCACCGGCCAGTACGCTCGCACAGAGTGGGCCTCCTCAGGGTGCCGTCCGCCAGACAATGTCGGCTGGCGACCCCCAGGGGGAGAGCCTTCTCTGTGATGGCGCCCACCCTCTGGAATAACCTTCCCCCAGAGTTACGTATAATAACAGACCTCCGGATTTTTCGTCGGGCCCTGAAAACCTATTTATTTCAACTAGCTGGGCTGGCTTGAGCTAAATTTTAAATTGATTTTAAATTGGGTTGTTTTAATTTATGGCTAGAATATTTAATTATTTTAATACTGTTTTTAAATTTTGTATGCTCTGTTTTTACTTAGGCTGTGCACCGCCCTGAGTCCTATTTGGAGAAGGGCGGTATAGAAATTTAATAAATAAATAAATAAATAAATTACAACCGAAGGAGCACTTCAACTACCCCCACCAATCTTTGGGCCACCCTGTAAAAAGTACCACTGTTTTTCAGAAGCACTCGGTATTGAATAGCATTGTCAAATATTGGCTAAGATTTTTTTTTCCTTTTGAATTATTGCAGGTTGACCTTGGTGCCCCAGCGATTCCTGCAAGACTTCTGAGCTCTTTTGTAAAGAGACAGCCTTTGGTAATTGCTCAGCTTTCCCATTTTCTCACCACTTAGATGGGCATAATACACACTATCAACAAACTCTGTTTCAGTAACAAACTGTAAATATCAGCAACAGCAGAATTTGCTTTCTGAAACTGGTGGCAGGAGGAAAGCCTCGCCAGACCACACAGAATCATAAATGGTTACTCCGCATTACAAATATTGTTCTCGTTCAGTTAGAAAAGAACCTTGAATGAGATTTTTGTTTGGTGGTTTAGAGAAAAGGCAACCTTTACAGATACACTGGTCAAGATGTTTTCCTTGAAATATTGATTTTACGTTGAATTTCTCCTTCGACCAGATGATTATGGAAAGATTTCTGGTGCAGTAAAACACAAAAGAACTTTTTTTTAAATTTTAAGGAACATTTCATTTTGGAAACTAAACTAAGCTACTATAAAGCTCTTTGTAGAGTGCCTGATGAATGAAAAATGCGTAACAAGTCTACAGTGTTACTGGCTGGAGAAGCAACTCACTCTCAAGGGAGTACTAAGTTGTGAAAATGAGAACTGGTTTTTGCTTTCTCTCGGTCAGAAATGCAACTCAGGAAGAGAGATAATGTTTTGCTACAGGATATATGTTTTCGCACTACAGAATCACTCCGCCATAAGACTACATGTTGAAAACCAGTAATATAACAGCATTAACACAACTGCAAGTTTCCTACGTAGCTACCACTACATTCTGAATGTTGGAGAGGAATTCCTATCACAGCATCTCATTCAGCAAATATCCTTGCCACTCTTCTTTTCCTGGAAGAGCAACAGTAATGAAAATAAGCTCAAAGCAGAGGAAGTCCACCATTGTTTTACCCCATGACTTTTATCAGGTTGAAAATCTAACCTCTAAGCCTCAACTGTTCGTGTCATATCGATTTGCATTCCCCGTGAGCTGCTTTATAAAATTACATTTTTCTACTTACGCTCTTCAATGTCTTTTGTTAGTAATAAATATGATTGTATAAAATAAATGCCAAGCCACATTCACATAATTAGGTTCAAAGTGAACGAGCATAGAATTAACATTCTCATCCCACACTGTTCCTATAGCAATTAGTGCTTGAAAGTAGGTTTTATTCATGTGAATGCGCACCCTATCTGATTCAGGTTATTTCTGAGAATACAAATCAAGTTATGTAACCTAGAATTACTGCTACCTATTACCATTTTCTGCCAGCCAGCTTTTAGTATTTAGAAACTTGCTAATCCTGGAGGAAGACAGTGGCACATTTCTTGTCAAGGAAATTGAATGATTATGCCTGTGTGGTCCCCAGGAGTCAAACTGATTTGAGAGTGACTTATTCCCCCCTTGAGAGCTTAACGTTTTACATCCAGTCTGTTACTACAATTGCCTGCAACTTGCTTGCGGCATTTTATGAAGTAAAAATTACTACTATTGTTCCTTAAAACAGAACTGAGAGTTTGGGAGAGAAAAGACAGAAAGGCTGTAAAACATGTCACTGTTCTTCTATATTAATTGGAAAGCAATTAAGTTTAATAATTATGGTAGCATAAAATAGTAAGAAATGACAGGTTTTCAGAGGCTGCCCACAGACAACATGGTGTTTTCCGTATCTTATTTTTGCTGGACTAGGTAAAGAGAACTCTCCCTTTCCCCACAAATATGTGGAAAATGCCTTTGAATCTTAAAAGGGAACTGCTTGCGCTTTTTTTTTTTTTTATTAAACAATGGGGTGTAAAAAATTCACTGATCTGAATTAGTTGGGGACTGTGGGCAGCATAAATGAAACCATATTTCAGTGCATACTGACTTGGCTTTGTTAAATAGACATCAACTTGGCGTGTAGCACAAACATAAGCATCAGATGATCCAAATAAAGCACAGATGGTGACTGACAAAATAAATGTTGATCAATGCCAAGAAGTTGATACAACTATAGAAATAATGTGTAGCATCGGAAATACTAGCTTTGTTGTCCTTTGCATTATTTGAAGTGGGAGGTAGAGATTATCTTCTCTACCAGAAATCACATCATTTAAGATGGGAAGCAGATCTGATTCTAAGACTGCATTCCAAGAATCACCGGCTACTCACTGTGTTTATTTTTTCCTTTACTTTTTGAACCTGGCACCCCTATTAATGAATTAAGCAATTTTAGAAGGCACATCTAAGATGGACTCCTCTCATAACGCAGATGTGCTCGTCAAAGGATAATGTTGTTTTGTACAGAGCATCAGATGTTTATTTTTATAACTGCATACAACTGTTTATTTCTATGTTTACAACTTAAGTTATTTATATATACTTATTTTGAAATGATTTTATATGCTGAAGCTAATTATGTTTATGGTTATTCAATTAATGTATGCTTTCTAGAAATAATTGTTACACTGAAATATATTTATATAATGATTTTTGCACTTATAACACTATGGTACCTGTGAATGTCTGGGGTAGGAAGAATAGTCTTAAAGTGGGGCAAAATCTTTTATTGAATGTGACAAAATATACCACTTTATTGAAACATACCTTCAGCCCATATCTGCTTTTAACCAAGATTGCTATTTTCATATCCTCACAATAAATACTTTTTTATATATAGAAAATGGCTAAAAGTGACATTTTTCCTGTTGAAGCTTTGCTGGCTGTGGAATTCTGGGAGCTGAAGTCCACACATCTTCAACGTGCCATGGTTGAGAAACACTGGCTTGAGCCAGGTATTTTCCACACATTTTTCAGAATAGAGCTTCTGAATAACCCAGCAAAAACTAACCCAGTAGCCATCTTATCCAGAAATCTGCTGAATAAAATTTTCAGAATTACTTCTAAGGAAGACAGAAAAAGACAATCTGTAGCATGCACCGATTTCACCCATTTAGCTTTAATAAAATAAAACAAGCAGGTTTCCAGAAGAAAACTACATTACTATAGTGCAAGAAAAAAAGAAAGGAAGAGATACAGTCCATAGGAAATTCAGTCTCATATCAAAGTAAAGTTATGTCAGTCCTTTTCTCAGCCTTTTCCATTGGCAAGATTGTAGAGCCGTCTTCTATATAAATATTTTTAAAAGCAACTATTTCAGTTTATAATTAAATGGTGGCATCATTCAAAACAATATTCCTCATAAAACTATTTTTCTCTCCATTACAAAATCACAAATACAAAATGTGGCAAGGGCAGGCACCCTTTAAAAAAATCCAAGCCAATATTGGTGCTCTCATAGCAATGATTATATTTCCAGACGAAGTTCAACTGAAAAAAATCAAGTATGAGCATCCATTAAATACCCGATTAAATACCAAGCTTACATTTAATTTTACTTGTCAATGGCTCGATGGGATCCACTGCAAGGTAAGAATCCCCTTCATGTTGGAAACAAGATCCCTTCAGTGTGTTTCACCCATCTATAAAGTTTCTGGAACTTGGAAGCCACACATTTCTATACAAAAAGAGTTTTGTTCCTGCAGTTCTAATTAAGGTGCTTGACTTGGCTTTTTCCTTATCTTCCAATACAGTGCACTGGAGAGACATCATCTTTGAGAACAAGATCCATACTAATTCTGAGTGCAATTTTGTCAAGGTATCTATAAGCAATCCCAATAATTTTTAAACATGGCAATTCTGCTAACTTTGGGCTGCAACGGTTTCTCTTGGCTGCGATCCTAAATCACAAGCAAAAGTCTTTGGCTCTGTAGTGTGAGTTTTGGAAATGAATATTCTTAACACAGCTTCTAATTCCTTGGAAAAATCCTACAAAGAAAAAAAAAACCAGCTATTAGCAATATCTGATAGGGATTTTTCGACATTAAAGTTCACTAACAATGCGAAATAAAATAATAGCACCATTGTTAAATTGAAGTGTTCTGAAGATGCCAGGATCTTTCCCGAAAACTGGAGAAATATGGGACAGAGCTGCTGATAATTCTGAGCGTACGTTCCATATATTGGAGCAACACAGAAATTAGTTTTATCTAGCTCCCTTCAGCCTTCAGCCTTCTCTTACTAATCAGAATGTTCTGACAAAGTGCATCTTGAGCTATGGTCTAACAGTCAGAAAAACAGCCTGTCAAAACCAACAATGAAAACAAATTGGGAAGCAATTTGTCTATATGATATTATCTAGATAGTAGATAATATAATTCAACAAAGGGTTAATTGTCTCCCGATTGTTGTAGCTGCCACCGTTTGAAACTTTTGTAAGGGTTGCTCATCATAGAACATATTGTAACCAAGACTTAGCTATCAGCTGTCAGATCTAGCCAGCTTAGAAATCATTACAACTGATACATTAATTAATAACTGTGTAAATGTGCTTGTCACCACTGATACCTGGGAATTCACCAACAGCTGGAGATCAAGGAACATGCCTAGGCTGCAAATATCTTCTTTCAAAAAGAATGCAATTCTATCCAGAACGTCCAATTTCAGAACATGGTTTCTTACTACCAATTGAAGTGAGCCCACATAATCAACATTATGCACTTCTGGAGTTGCAGACCTACCACATTCTTGATCAGAAATATTATGTGTGTGATTCAAACAATCATTTCCCACTACTTCTGGATCAAATTGTTTTTTTTTATTAATAGTCTTTTCACTGGCAACATTAAAGCAGGATAAACGCACCTCTTCTACAAGGAAGCAACACTCAGTCCCAGGGTCTCAAAACTCCAATTGTCACAATTGGCTCTCTGGGATTAGTTCATAAAATACCATATTTTTTGGACTATAAGACGCACCAGAGTAAAAGACGCACCAAGATTTTGAAGAGGAAAAAGAGTTTAAAAATAGTTTTTGCCCTCCGCGTGTCCGGTTTTTGCCCTCCCCAGCCCCCAGGAGCACTCTGCAGGCCTCCCAAACCCTCTGTGTGTCCCATTTTTGTGAAAAATGGGCCTGTTTTTCACAAAAACAGGATGCGCGGGGCAGTTTTCGGGAGGCCAAAAATGGCTGTATTCGGTGTATAAGACACACCAACATTTCCACTCTCTTTTAGGGGTGAAAAAAGTGCGTCTTATATTTCAAAAAGTATGGTACCTAGTGAGCCAAAAACGATAAAAATCCTGATAATACTATTAAATAAAACCTTATTAAACTTAAAAAAAACTAATACTTTTCTGTATCACATTGGTCATTTCAGCCATCCTCTTAGAAACATTCCAAGTTCCCTTTTCATTCAAGCTGTCATACCTTTTGCTTCGCCATCGTTAGTGGGGATGATGTTGTGAAAAGGAAGATAGTTTGAACTAAAGCCTATTTGGAGCACTATTCAAAAACACTGAAGAATATTTAAATATTAATTTTCAACAGTGTACTCCAGAACATAAATATTTGTTTGTGCAGAATACAGAAATATTACAAATATAGGAAAAAAGGACCCCAGACCAACATGTTCACAAATTAAACCTACCAAAGGCCACGTTTGCTTCTGGAGGTCATGCAAACCATGCTCTATCTCTGTACTTGTCATCAATCCGTGCTCATCAAGGCCATGAAGCATGAATAAAAACAAGCCCCACTGCAATAAAACAGAAACATATATCACCAGCCTTACCCACAATGCTTATCATGCAAACCTAAAGACGGCACTAAGTAGTGCTCTGAGGCATACAGTTGTTCGTAATGAATGCATTAACAAATTCCTTGGGAGGCATATGCAACTGGTTCACGTTGCTAGCAGGGATGCAAGAGCCATTACTAAAGAAATCATATATGCAGAAATGTCATACCAACTCAAATGCTTTTCTTTTTAGTGATAGCTAATTCATCTACAGATAATCTATTAAAGAATTTAGCCTTCAGCTCCCTTTATCATGTGGAAATTAGTGGAAATAACTGGAATATACTGGTTTATTGAAAATCACTGAAAATCAGCTGGGAAATATTACATAGCAATATTACCTGGAAATATGTCAGGTAGCAGAGCAACAGACATGGTTGAGTTTATAAATGCAACAGA